TTTGGTTTTACACCGCTTTTAGCAATATTCCAGCAAATTATCACGGCAGGGGACACCAGAAATGGGCTTCACACATTGTACCCATGTCGGGAATGGAACCAACAAGTACTAAAATAGCTTTGAAAAAGTGTAAACATCACAAGTTTGATTAATCCTACTGATGGTGTATTTTTAAAAAAAAAATTATTTTTGCATTTCAGTGTTAAGTTGGATTATGTTATGAGCAAAGGGATTGCTGTCAGAGCTTAACTCCTAAACTGTTAGAACTGGTACCTTTTGCTGTTCAGGAATTTCTAAGATAAAATGCATTTCTCAGTCAATAACTTAAGACTATGGTTCAAATGAGAGCATAATGCATAATGCATAAACCCGTGAAAATCCAGGGTGGAATAAGTCATGGGCAACCCATGCTTGCCGTAAAAGGCAACTGTGCTTGTCGTAAGAAGTGTCTAACGGGATTGGGGGGTCAGGCTCGCTGACTTGGCTGATGCATGTCATCGTATCCCAATTGTGTGAATCGATGCTCATGATGTCAATCACTGGATTGTCTGGTCCAGACTTGATTATTTACAAACCACCATCTTATTGCTGGAATATTGCTGAGTGCGGCGTTAAACAATAAACAGTCTATCAACAATCCATCATAAACCATTCAATAGTCCTTGATGAAACTCAATTGAGTTGACATTGCTCATAACATGCATAATGCAGTGTTTATTAAAAGACAAACACAGAAATGCAGGAATTGTTTTATTACTTTTGCCAGTTTGTCATGGAATAATGATTTTTGAAAATATATGTAACATTTCCAAAAGCTCCTATGAAAAGCTCTGACTACACTACCTATATAAAAGTACCATTACAGTTTCACGTCCTCGGAATACTGAAAGATGTCATTTGATTATTGATCATAATGTCAGTTGTACTCGAGCTTTATGACCATCACTTTTGGGTATAGTGAGGTATGTGACATACTTTCTGTGATTTTACACAGGTATTGAAAAGGCTGGGGCATTAAATACTTAGGAATTTAAGAAAATAGGAACTCATTAAAACCATTACAATTTTTGCAAAACGTAAGCTTTTTTCCCAATTTGCCTGCCAAGGACTCTTGGTTTGGAGTCCCCGCTACATCATTGCTTTGTTCTTCTATTCTCTAGATGTAATCCTGAAGAGTATTAGTAATCTTTCTTTGTATATACGAATATAACCGAATGCTATCTTTAACGATGATGGTATTCTACCATGTCTACCTTATTTGTTGTACCACGAATATTAGTTTCTTCTTACCTTTTAATGTTTTATCCTAATCAATTGATGTGACTATAAACTTCAATATGTTGCATCAATGATTCTTTACCATGAGAGCCATTGTGTCCCACAGTTCAGTCAAGTTTCAGTGAGTGGTTGGTTATGCAGCCTGGCATGGTGATCAAGTTAGCAGTCAAGGTTATTTGACACGCTGACGAAAGTTCCTCCCGGTGGAGAGTTCTGAGTAGAATTGGTCCCTTGTGCTCTTTGTTCACCATAAAGTGATACTCAAAGTGGGAATATGGTAGCCAATATGATTAATGCCAGATAACAGTGGATGCACTTGGCTTTTAAAGGACTGATCTGCCTGTATTAGGAAGAAATTTCTAAAGACAGCATTTCCCTACAGCTTTGTGTGGTCATTAGATTGTTTCAGTTAAAAAGGTACTTCTGGTATATTTCTAGTATATTTATACTAGCCATTGGAGGATATCAGGGTGCCTGTAATACTGGAGGAATGTGGCTTGACATGGATGGATATAGGGTGGCTTGACATGTGAGGTGGTTAAGACATGGATGGATATAGGGTGGCTTGACATGTGAGGTGGTTAAGACATGGATGGATATAGAATGGCTTGACACATGGGGTGGTTCAGACATGGGTGGATATAGGGTGGCTTGACATACGAGGTGGTTTAGGACATGGATGGATATAGGATGGCTTGACACATGGTGTAGCTGTGACATGGATGGATATCGGCGTGGCTTGACACATGGATGGATAGCGGGGTGGCTTGACACATGGGGTAGCTGTGACATGGATGGATATAGGGTGGCTTGACACGTGGTGTGGTTCAGACATAGTAGGATATAGAGTGGCTTGACACATGGGGTAGCTGTGACATGGATGGATATCGGCGTGGCTTGACACGTGGGGTGGTTCAGACATGGATGGATAGCGGGTGGCTTGACACGTGGGGTGGTTTAGACATGGGTGAATATAGGGTGGCTTGACACATGGTGTAGCTCTGACATGGATGGATATCGGCGTGGCTTGACACGTGGGGTGGTTCAGACATGGGTGAATATAGGGTGGCTTGACACATAGTGTAGCTCTGACTTTGATGGATATCGGCGTGGCTTGACACGTGGGGTGGTTCAGACATGGATGGATATAGGGTGGCTTGACACATGGTGTAGCTGTGACATAGATGGATATCGGCGTGGCTTGACACGTGGGGTGGTTTAGACATGGGTGAATATAGGGTGGCTTGACACATAGTGTAGCTGTGACATGGATGGATATTGGCGTGGCTTGACACGTGGTGTGGTTAAGACATGGGTGGATATAGGGTGGCTTGACACGTGGGGTAGCTGTGACATGGATGGATATCGGCGTGGCTTGACACGTGGGTTGGTTCAGACATGGATGGATAGCGGGGTGGCTTGACACGTGGGGTGGTTCAGACATAGTAGGATATAGGGTGGCTTGACACGTGGGGTAGCTGTGACATGGATGGATAGCGGGGTGGCTTGACACGTGGAGTAGCTGTGACATGGATGTTGACTTGTAAGTAACAAACCCTATGTTCAGGCTGCCACGGCTCAGTATGTACAGCCTATGCTAGATTTCTGCCATGATGTAGCTGCAATTTTACTTACGAAGATTGGCATGAAACCTAGGGTGGTATTGAGTACAGAGATGATATATATATGTTCAGTGCAATCATGGCAGTATTCCTCTGTGTGTGAGCTCTAGATACCATGAATTAATCATCAAATTGTCCTGCCTGCCAGGCTCGCCAGATTGTATTAATCCTGACCAGATTGTATTAATCCTGACCAGATTGTATTAATCCTGACCAGATTGTATTAATCCTGACCAGATTGTATTAATCCTGACCAGATTGTATTAATCCTGACCAGATGACAGCCATCTCCCATTTCTGAGACCTGCAAGATGACTAGTCCCATACTGACATGGGAATTCAATAATAAAGAAAAGTTTTAATATATTATTTTGATTGTGACTTTATTGTATTGTAAAGGCTACCAGAACTATCCTTTGACAAGATCCATGAACAAGTGGATGGAAAGAACCCCCTTGGTCATATTATCCACTTTATCAATCTTGGTTTCCTTCATTCTAATTTCTATAACGCCACACTCAGCCATATTCCAATTATATGATGGTGGCCTGTAAATAATTGAGTCTTGACCAGACAATCCAGTGACCGATACTGTGAGTAAGGGCCCAAGTTCTCTGGGTACGATGACAGGCTATCATCCAGGTCACAGAGCCTGACCACCCAATCCTAGACACCAGTTCAAAGCCCAAGTTTCTGTTTTCATGCAGGAATATTTCCATGTTTCAGCAAACTGGGCCCATTGGCCTACTTATTTTCAGAAAGAAGGACATAGATTTGGTTTTCATTATTTTCATCCCCCTTTTTGCTTACCAGCAAATCCCATACCGATCTCGCATGAAATGACACATAACTTATACTGAAAATGGGTAGAAGATAGGATGGCATTTCATGGTGTGATCACTGGACGGTGTTGATTTACGTACTCCTGTTTACAGCCACAAGTTTTCACTAACTTGACCATGTTCACTATAACCTTGCTCAAATGTGCTTAGGAAGAACGCGGTAGAAATGGCACTTTAATCGGCATTGTCTTGTCTATCTGTCGCTCCTGCTTACAATAAGGCTGTCTGTTGTATGCCTGGATCCTGAACATGCTGGACCAACAGTAATCACTCAGTAACTCTGTAGGGTGTTTGGGTAGCCTAGTGATTTTAGCCATTTATTTTCTAACATAGGTTCAATGGGGTCCCCTGCTGTGATTTTGCTAGAATATTGCTAGAAGTGGCACTGCCTTAAGACAACAACTTGACATCAATATTTTGCAATGTTTTGCATTTAAGATTGAATTACTATTTTATGCTGCACCACCAGGCCTCAAAGTTGCGACTAAAACGGTCGCCAGTGCGACCTAAATTTCAGTTTGTCTACTGTCTAAAATTCAGAGGTAGCCAAATGACTACCTAGAAAAATATCTTGTGGCGACTAAATTTTATTGCTTCACATCTGTAGACACAAAAATAATTAACAGCTGATATTGTTAAACACATCTGCTAATAATTGTACTCGCAAATAATTCCTTCTAAAGTCGACAATGAACCAAAATATATAAAAATTAATATTTAATTCATACTTCAGTTTAGTTGACAATGGTCATTGGATAAGCGAGGATATACCTCTATATGATATATATATCATCTAGTAACATAAATTACAACATTATTCAAGTCACAAGTAACAAAATTCAAGTACTCTTTCCATTAAGATACAATTTACAAGACTAGTGTTGTAACTTGTACATATTATCATAGTTATTTGATAAAGATAATTTCAAATGCTTTTGGCTACCTACAATATTGGCTTGACTTCTTGATTGTCCCACTGGCTATCTGAAAAAAAATACTCGGAGCCATATGGCTACTTTGTAAAAATTTAAATTTTGATGCCTGACCACACTTGTTTATAAGGTCATGTTGAATCTACTGGATTGTACGGTCAAGTTTGACAAGACTTGATTTTAAGGTCAAGTTGCACATGGTTGAAGTGATTATTTTATTACAGGGAGCCCTGATGAAATGGACATGATTCAACACAGGCATAACTATTACTTATTGTTAGATTTAATCTAGCTGTAGTTTTGAAGAATACCTTTGTTTGTTTCAGAATGACAATTGTGAGATTGAATTAGAGTTGACTACAGTGAAAAAGGAAGGCGTGAAAGCTGATCCCGTAGACTTTGAGCTGTTGAAGGTTTTGGGACAAGGGTCCTTTGGAAAGGTGAGTTCTTACAATATTGTGTTGTCAAACTTAATCCAGGCATCCAACTTAACACAATACCTGTGGATCTTTACCATGTTTACAGGTAAGTGTGAGGTGGCAATACGTTCTGGCCCGAGATTTTGCGTTATTTTGATAAGAAGACGATGCACATGTTTTTAAACTCAACTTTTGATTTTATCTGAGAGTCAGATAGGGAGTGAATTTAACTAATCACTTGAATGGAGTTTTCAACACAAGTGCACATTTCCATTGGAAATAAACATTTTCATTAGCTTTTACTTTTAGTTTGTAGGATTATTATAGTGTTCCTTTCAAAAGTCGAGTAGTATGCTTGCTTGCAAATGTTGGATGCCATTGGACACACTTCTACCCAGCTTATCGTGTGCTTTGTGCTATAAAGTAACTACATTTTCTGAGACAATAACTCATCCGTCTGTATTTTCACTAGCCTCTAACAGACGAGTCAGTCTTTGGATCAAGACACATATCTCAGTTGTAATTGTGCATCAACGTGCACAGACGTTTGGCCCTGGCTGAATAATCCTGACAGGCAGGTGTAATATAACTGTAATATTGACCGATGTGTAAAACCTCATAAACTCACTGATAATTTCCTCGGTGTAAGAACGACAACCTACTTGGAGATGAGGGGTAGTATTGTTCCAGTTGATCAATTTCAGGTATTGATTGGTTTCAGTTGCCAACCAAGGAATCAATCTTGAAATCTGTGATTGATTATTTTCCAATTATATTAATTCATTTTCAATAACAATAAATTTGAATGTAAAGCATCAATGGTTGGATGACAGACAAATTTCATCTGCCGTTGCTGCTGCAGTGTCCTGTAGATGTGTTTGGGTTGAAAGTTTCACTACTCTCAGTAACATATCATTTAAGTAGGTGTGCTGTTTAAACTATTGTCATTTAGATGGAGGACAATATACTACTCAGGGCGGTCGGGTAGCCTAGTGAATAAAGCGTTCGCTCGTCACGCCGAAGACCCGGGTTCGATTCCCGACATGGGTACAATGTGTGAAGCCCATTTCTGGTGTCCCCTGCCGTGATATTGCTGGAATATTGCTAAAAGAGGCGTAAAACCATATTAACTCACTCACTCAATATACTACTCAAAAAAAGTTAAAGAACACCTGATTCTTTCATATTACTCTAGTCAGTCTGTCCTACCATGACAGAATAACTACAGTAATATGAAAGAATTGTGTGTTCTTTACTTCTTTGGAGTCGTATATATGCTTATTCTGTTCTTATTTATGATTGATCATGAATCGATTAATGATCAGAGCATGATGCCTTGTAATGCAAAATGATTTTAGTACTCAAGCTTTGGCAAACTATGGGAGGTCGACACCAGGAGCAGCCAGATACTGGGAGCTTTCTTTAATATTAGTCAAATTACTCCTGTGGCCCCTCAGACAAGTAACATCTGTTAATTCTTGAGTCGGAGTTGCATGAATTTCCTGACATTACTGGCATAACTGATGTGTGCGGCCAAATCGTGACAGCTGACTGTCTTTCTTGCTGATAATGAACAGTTTGTTAAAACCTGACGTAGTAGTGCTGTCTCGGCCGTGCTGTGGCAGCCTGTACTTGCCCTAGATTACACATTGTACTTACACATCGATACAGAAGTAACAGTGATCCCAATTAAGCATGGAAGTCAAGCTTGTCATAAGCCTAATGTTGACTGTTAGATGCTGAGGGGGTCTCTAGATTCAATACTAAGGAGCAGACATCAAGGCCTCTTCCCTCTCTCTCTTTCTCTTTCTCTCTCTCTCTCTCACTCACTCACTCACTCACTCACTCACTCACTCACTCACTCACTCACTCACACACACACACACACACACACACACACACACACACACACACACATACACACACATACACACACATTATGTTTTGTGAAAGCAGACCAGCTGGCGAGGTACCATTAGTCTTGTGCAACAACGTTTGGATGTCAACATTCACCAGGTGCACCTACCTATACAAGCCTAACATTAAGCAGTGAGCTGACACAGCTTACTTGGGTAGCCTAGTGGTTTGCTTGATTTCCAACCCCCCCCTCCCCCATGATTACAATGTGTGAAGACCTTATGTTGCTGGAATAGTGCTACAAACTGCGTAGAACCCTACCCACTGAAAAAGTTAAGGGAAAAGTTGACATGCTATTGGAATATATTTTTTCTCATGAAATGATAATTTCAGATACAATTTCTTCTGACTAATGCATCAAAATTCTTTGATGTTGTATCATGGGTAATTAGGTCTCCTCCATCGCTCTCTCCCTTACACCTCCAAGGGAGGGGAGACATATTGTGTTGGCTTGGTTCCCTGTTGGCATCGGCGTTCCCATCCTATTCCGAGCCACAACTTGAAAACCTTTTAATGTTTTTCAACCAAACTTGGCATATGGATTGCTCATCAGCTTAACTGGTGCCTTTTGCCATTTTGAAATATTTCAAGTTTTTATGTTTTTTTTGTTCATATTGTTTTCATGGAATTAATTTCGACTGAGTCTCAAATGAGGGTTGGGTTCATTTCTAGGCCATATCTTGAAAAATGTTCATCATATTTCAACGAAGTTTGGGATATGTATTGGTCATAAGCTTAATTTTGAAATTTTCTAAATTTTCTTTTGTTATGTTTTCGTGGAAACAATTTGGACTGAAATCTCAAACAACTCTAGGCTTCGTTTCTGAGCTACAACTCTCAAAACAAATAAATATTTTTGTATGAAACTATACATGTGCACTGACCACATGTTCAGCTATTTCCCTTATATTTTCAATTTTACATATTTTTAGTTTGTTGTGTTTCCATGGAAACAATTTGGACTAAGTCTCAAACAAGTAGTATTTATTTCCCGCCAAAACTCTACAGCTAATGAATATTTGTGCATGAACCATTTTCTTTCCAGAATTGTTTTTCGGATTTGCAAACACATATACAGTAAAAACTTGAACTAGTATATAAAAAAAAATTGGGGGTGGGGGGGTGGGGGGGCATGTTTTGGGGTTAAAACACATTCTAGAATTACGTAAATACCATTAGATTGGGAAAAAACCCAGCTCCTCGCAGCAGTAGCCCGTTCACGGTGCTTTTGTACTACCGGTATACCAAGGGCATAACGAAGGAGTCACACGCTGGGAAGGAGCTTGGGAAAAAACGTGTGTACAGCTGATTGCTATTTCTGGCTTAATTTATGAGAAAATACACACAGTAATCTTAATCTCTACATATATAACATTGCCTTGGAGAGCAGAAAATACAATTTAAATGGTTAATCATCATGTCTCGAAATGTTTCACCTCAATTTTCAAATTTTTACTGACCTAGTTTGTTATGCCTGTTTGTTCACCTGTATACGCTAAAGGGATATGATGTAGTTATTTAGTGCGCATTACACTCTATAAATGTTTATTCACACTATGAATCATAAACAACTACCGTATCCTAATCTGCGATCTCCACGTCGGACAGCCTGAAGTGATACTAAGGAAAAGGCTCTGCGTATTATACGCTAGCGATATTTTTTTAAGGATTTAATTGCCCATAATTAGTAGTGGGTATTATTAATGAGCGTGTATTATAACGCAAATAAATATGGTACCAACAATTGTAAGCCTTTGTGTTACCAGTATTTTCAGATTAACTGGAGTCATGTGAATATGTTTTGTGTTCTTTAACTTCTTTTTAGCAGTATATTTAAACAGTTCTATCTGTAGGTAATGTTCCTGTGACTACGTTCTCAGAAGTATGAAACATTGACTGCTTATTTAGCATAGAAATTTTATACAAGAAATGCAAGATTTTACTTTGTTTTAGTAGCCGAGAGGCCAAATTCTTTTAATAACGAACTCAATACAAGTTTCAAATCTTAATATGTTGGAACTAGATTTCTATTTTCTGAGACAAAAGAATAATTGTCAACATGGCAAAGGATTATGGCTGCTGAACCTCTGCTTCATGGCGCATGTTGTTATGATATTGATCCGGTTCTGTTTCGGATGTGAGATATACAATCTTGGAGGATTCCAGCCCAGGTTGGAGACAACAGTGATATGATAAAAGTGCAGGATTGATGCGGGAAGCCATGGCAGGAGATGTTAATTGTATATATTCAACGACAGATATCAACTTTATATTCACCAGCAGTAGGTATTAACTCTCTATATATCAGATATATACCTGTGACGGATATTAAGTCCATGGCCACAGGTCTAGTATTAAATAGGCTTCTTCCATTCTGGAGCATTGAAATGAGTAAATAATAGCAACTGATGCCTTTCCAACCCAATCTGTTTTCTGGCATTTCAAGATTGAATGGTATTTATTGACACAATAACTGATCCAATTAGCTTCCTACTGGGTTAAGGGTGGGTTGAATTTCAAGGGAAACAGTTTTGATTCTGTTCTGGTTCATGATTAGACAAATTGGTTTTATTGATTTAATCTGGATGTATAGATGTATTGGTGAACCCGTGCTACAATTTTCCCAAATATACATATGTTCCAAAAATGTACCTCAACACACAAGGTACTAAACGTGAGCACAAACAAAACAAATGTGAAGCAGTGAAAAAACAGTTTTATCATAGCCAATACTTCAGTTCAGATATGAAAAAGTGCATACCGGACATTTTAAAATTTGCCAACACACATTTTCGAGAAAGTACACTTGCCAGACATTCACCCCATGAGCAATATCAGAACAAGGGATATGATAAAGAGATGCAATCAGACTGACATGTACCTTTGTTGAGTAGTGTATACACGACTTACCGAGCACTATCGGTCAACATCTTGTTATGCTTGGTAAAAAACCTACATTGTATCCCTTCAGGGAATTTAGGTCAATACAAATGTGAAATTTTAGATAAGATATCAGAAAGGATGATTTACTATTTGAATTGTATTTCTTGTTCTGCTAGGCATTATTTTATATGCGGAAATAAAGAGTTCTGTTTTCTCGTAAACTCCCCTGGAAATAGCAATAACCATACGAGAAGCACTTTGGAAGAGCTGATTGCTATTGTGGGATAGTTTTTATGTATGGAATAATTTAACTGATCAACGTTGAGACTTCCTGCAGATTTGCAAAAACTTTAGGTTGACATATAATAGTCAGCCTACAACAAGTATGACTTTTAATGAGTCAAAGTATGGCATTTATGATATAAGTATCCGTTTGTTTCAACTGTACATTTTAAGGCGTCAGTATCAGTAATATGTCCGTGTTGATTTCATTGTCATTCCTCCAAACACCACAATCTGGCGATCATCCGAAAATATGAACTTTCCCCAGTGGTCATTTACCTCCATAATTGTCTTTCCCTACACCACTTCACATGTTTTGTTTGTTAACATCACGCAGCGCCATCTTCTTCACAAGTCTGTGATATGCCATTCTTTTCACTTTTCCAGTCTTTTTACAGAAAGTTACCTCCTTTCCCTCATTAATTGTCCCCCGCCGTGCGAAAGCGCGAAGCGGGGGGTATAGTATTCATGACCGTCTGTCCGTACGTCCGTCCGTACGTCCCACCTTTTTGTTGCCGCGATATCTCAAGAACTAAACACTGGATTGTCTTCATATTTGGAACTGGGCGGTCGGGTAGCCTAGTGGTTAAAGCGTTCGCTCGTCACGCCGAAGACACGGGTTCGATTCCCGACATGGGTACAATGTGTGAAGCCCATTTCTGGTGTCCCCCGCCCTGATATTGCTGGAATATTGCTTAAAGCGGCGTAAAACCATACTCACTCACTCATATTTGGAACTATGGTGTATATACAGACACCGCAGACACCAGTCGGTTTTGGTGACCTTGACCCCATTTTCAAGGTCACAGCAGGCAAATCTGCTTTTGGAGTTCGAAAACGGTGTTGCAGCGATATCTCAAGAACTAAACACTGGATTGTTTTTATCCCCCGCCGCGCGAAAGCGCGAAGCGGGGGATATAGTATTCACGACCGTCCGTCCGTCCGTCCGTACGTACGTCCGTCCGTACGTACGTCCCACCTGTTTGTTGCCGCGATATCTCAAGAACTAAACACTGGATTGTCTTCATATTTGGAACTATGGTGTATATACAGACTCCGCAGACACCAGTCGGTTTTGGTGACCTTGATCCCATTTTCAAGGTCACAGCAGACAAATCTGCTTTTAGAGTTGGAAAACGGTGTTGCCGCGATATCTCAAGAACTAAACACTGGATTGTCTTCATATTTGGAACTATGGTGTATATACAGACACCGCAGACACCAGTCGGTTTTGGTGACCTTGACCCCATTTTCAAGGTCACAGCAGGCAAATCTGCTTTTGGAGTTGGAAAACGGTGTTGCCGCGATATCTCAAGAACTAAACACTGGATTGTCTTCATATTTGGAACTATAGTGTATATACAGACTCCGCAGACACCAGTCGGTTTTGGTGACCTTGATCCCATTTTCAAGGTCACAGCAGGCAAATCTGCTTTTAGAGTTAGAAAACGGTGTTGCCGCGATATCTCAAGAACTAAACCTCTCGATTGTCTTCATATTTGGAACTATGGTGTATATACAGACACCGCAGACACCAGTCGGTTTTGGTGACCTTGACCCCATTTTCAAGGTCACAGCAGGCAAATCTGCTTTTGGAGTTGGAAAACGGTGTTGCCACAATATCTCAAGAACTAATCGCTGGATTGTCTTCATATTTGGTACTATGGTGTATATGGCGGGGGATATTTCGTCACTCTGTGACAAATACTTGTCATATTTGGAACTATGGTGTATATACAGACTCCGCAGACACCAGTCGGTTTTGGTGACCTTGACCCCATTTTCAAGGTCACAGCAGGCAAATCTGTTTTTGGAGTTGGAAAACGGTGTTGCCGCAATATCTCAAGAACTTATTGCTGGATTGTCTTCATATTTGGTACTATGATGTATATACAGGCGGGGGGACATTTTGTCACTTTGTGACAAATACTTGTTATGTAAGTAATTGCTTGCAAAGTTGCTTTTCCGTGAAAGTTCCATCTCAACTCTAATGCCAAAAGTTTTCCTCTGCCCATTTCATTCCAAATTGTCCACCGAACGTACTCGCCCATTTTTTCTAATAATACTGATTGTTGTCCTAGGTATGACAAAATATTCTTGCCAACTTCTCCAATGTTTTGATGCTTTTACAATATTTTCTCATTGCCCACTGTTCAATTCGGCTGATTTGTGACACCTAACTCCCAATAACTAGGGCAATAACTAGGGCAATAACTAGGGCAAGCAGACGAAATCAGTTCTCGCGCTTCGTTGCGCAAAGGCAAATGAGTTTTGTCACCCGTTATGCTGAGTGTTTTGTAAAGTGACCAAATGTCCACAGACTGTTTATTCATGTTACTGGCAGGATTTTCATATTTGCGTAGAGTTATGTCCCTTTCACTGGTCGTAACTGTCTACACTTATCCAGTACTCCACCAGAGACAATAGAGACACAAACATAGACACGCACATGCACACACGCACATGCACACACACATGCACACACACATGCACACACACATGCACACACACATGCACTTATCTAAGTAGTAAGTCTATGCATCCTGTCATGGCTTTGTAGGTAACTGGTCATAAACTCTTGACATTTTCACTACAACAATAGTCTGCAATGCTGCCATGAAAACAAGATTATAAATGTTCGCCTTGTTATTCCTTTTTAGCTAATGTAATAATTCAGTTTATGTGCAGTGTTGGTGGCTCTTTCTGAAATGTTGTCAAGAAATTATGGCTAAAAGACACAAATGAGATCAGTGGACTGATGATGGATTGACCAATGAATAAACTGGCAGTTGTCACACTGTGAAACAGGACTTCAACAAATACAGTCATTATTGTAAATTAATATCTTAAATATAACTTGAAGAGACAGGGGAGTATTTATATTTTTATATCATGCAGTGGCATCATTTGTTGCATGGTACAGTCTATTATGACACTTCCTTCTCAAACCTCTATTACCAGGTGTGCAAAATCATTGGTTGTTCTGTAGCCATAAAAAAAAATGAAATCAGAAATTAATATTCAAGGAAATTATTTTCTTGATAAAAAAGTATGAGCAGTTCGATAACAATCATCATTAAAAACACACTTTGACAGATGAGATGCATTCTGGGTAGAATCATTAGGCCATTTTATATGCATCCTGGGCTTGAATTTCCTTATATTACAGTGACGATGGCACAGTTTTAATTGTCATGGCACATTTTAAGAAAAAACTCTTAGTGCATGAAGTGCTTATAAATAATATATTTCCACAAAACTGTGTTACAGGAAGAGGATGATGATGAATGTACTTTAAAGCTGAACAAACAGCATTATTCACAAAATAAATCTGAAAGGGTATCTTTCTGAAAGGGTACTGCAATTGCTGTATTAAGTGTTCTGCTCCAATATGCACCCCTTGACCTACTTCATGACCAATCTGTTAGTCGTTTTTGTGGTTTGGTTTGGTTTGTTGTTTTATGCCGCACTCACCAATATTCCAGCTATATGACAGCGGTCTGTAAATAATCGAGTCTGGACCAGACAATACAGTGATTAATATCATGAGCATCGATCCACGCAGTTGGGATTGATGACATGCATCAACCAAGTCAGCGAGTCTGACCACCCGATCCCGTTAGTCGCCTTTTACGACAAGCATAGTCACCTTTTACGGCATGCATGGGTTGCTGAAGACCTATTCTATCCCGGAATCTTCATGGGTCCGTTTTTGTGAATGCGTTTTTGTGAATGCTCCCTACTAAAACTAAAAACTTTACATTACAGTTTGTATTTTGTTGTGTATACACCAGCGTAGAAGGGGTAGATTGTTGCCTGGTAGCTTCAAAAATGTTAGTTCACTGAATTTGTTCACTGACAACAAAGTTTGTTATGTGTAAAGACACAGAAATGTAAAATGTTACCATTTTGAAAACACATTTAATGCTGGATCAATTGTTCAGATTCATGACAAGCGTTATTCGGAGATAGCCGTGATGGAGGTTAGTGTGTCCTTCACATCTATAGGCGCAGTATAGATCTACTCTCTCAGGTATGGTCACAATCACTGATTATGTTAACACTGGCGGCATGGTTGGTTGAAATAACTTCAGGAATGACTATTTGTTTTTGCCAGGTTTTCCTTGTGAGGAAGATAACGGGAGAAGATGCTGGGACTCTCTATGCCATGAAGGTGCTAAAGAAAGCCACACTTAAAGGTACATACAGACACCAGGGATGATCTATGTGGGGGAAAGTCTACCTGGAGTTGAACTATCAGGTGATGGTCATCCAGGGGTATACTGTCAGGAGATGGTCCACCTGGAGATGATCTGTCAGGAGATGGTCTACCTGGTGATGATCTATCAGGAGATGGTCTACCTGGAGATGATCTGTCAGGAGATGGTCTACCTGGAGATGATCCAACTGGAGATAATCTGTCAGGAGATGGTCTACCTGGTGATGATCTGTCAGGAGATTGTCTACCTGGAGATGATCCACCTGGAGATAATCTGTCAGGAGATGGTCTACCTGGTGATGATCTATCAGGACATGATCTGTCAGGAGATGGTCTACCTGGAGATGATCCACCTAGAGATAAATCTGTCAGGAGATGGTCTACCTGGAGATGATCCGTCAGGACATGATCTGTCAGGAGATGGTCTACCTGGTGATGATCTGTCAGGAGAATGTCTACCTGGAGATGATCCACCTGGAGATAATCTGTCAGGGGATGGCCTACCTGGTGATGTTCTATCACGAGATGGTCCACCTGGTGATGATCTGTCAGGGCATGATCTGTCAGGAGATGGTCTACCTGGAGATGATCCACCTGGAGATAATCTGTCAGGAGATGGTCTACCTGGTGATGATCTATCAGGAGATGGTCTACCTGAAGATGATCCACCTGGAGATAATCTTTCAGGAGATGGTCCACCTGCAGATAATCTATCAGGAGATGGTCTACCTGAAGATGATCTGTCAGGAGATGGTCCACCTGGTGATGATCTATCAGGAGACAGTCCACCTGGAGATGATCTGTCAGGAGATGGTCAACCTGGTGATGATCTATCAGGAGATGGTCCACCTGGTGATGTTCTGTCAGGAGATGGTCCAGCTGGTGATGTTCTGTCAGGAGATGGTCCACCTGGTGATGTTCTGTCAGGAGATTGTCTACCTGAAGATGATCTGTCAGGAGATGGTCCACCTGGTGATGATCTATCAGGAGTTGGTCCACCTGGAGATAATCTATCAGGAGATGGTCCACCTGGAGATGATCTATCAGGAGATGGTCCACCTGGTGGTGTTCTGCCAGGAGATGGTCCAGCTGGTGATGTTCTGTCAGGAGATGGTCCACCTGGTGATGTTCTGACAGGAGATGGTCCACCTGGTGATGTTCTGTAAGGATATGGTCCACCTGGTGATGTTCTGTCAGGATATGGTCCACCTGGAGATGTTCTGTCAGGAGATGGTCCACCTGGTGATGTTCTGTCAGGATATGGTCCACCTGGTGATGTTCTGTCAGGAGATGGTCCACCTGGTCATGTTCTGTCAGGATATGGTCCACCTGGTGATGTTTTGTCAGGAGATGGTCCACCTGGAGATGATCTATCAGGAGATGGTCTACCTGGAGATGATCTATCACGAGATGGTCCACCTGGTGATGATCTGTCAGGAGATGATCTATCAGGAGATGGTGTACCTGGAGATGATCTGTCAGGTGTTGGTCTACCTGGAGATAATCTATCAGATGGTCCACCTGGAGATGATCTGTCAGGAGATGGTCTACCTGGAGATGATCTATCACGAGATGGTCCACCTGGTGATGATCTGTCAGGAGATGATATATCAGGAGATGGTCTACCTGGAGATGATCTGTCAGGTGATGGTCTACCTGGAGATAATCTATCAGATGGTCCACCTGGTGATGATCTGTCAGGAGATGGTCCACCTAGAGATGATCTGTCAGGAGATGGTCTACCTTGACATGATCTGCTTTAGGGGATGATCTACCTGGGGTTGATCTGTCAGGGTGTGACCTGTCAGACCATCCTTCAGTCCACCATTCCCTATCAGCGGTGATAGAACAGGGATGTTCCAGAGACTTATTGATCATAAGATGTTCTACCAGTGGATGACCACAGGATGATTTTAGATAATAATAATATCTTGAACATTTTCAGAACACATAATGCACAATTTGAACATATTACATACATTACCATGTTATGTTTTTATGATTTCGACAAACATTATTGCATGGAAGCTACATCTTATGTTTTGTAAAATCAGTGGGATGCCTCCATGCTTACCATTATGTCTTTTTACAGTCCGTGATCGACAAAGGACCAAAATGGAGCGGGACATCTTGGCAGATGTTAATCATCCTTTCATCGTTCACTTACACTATGGTAGGTAGAGTTTGAAATAGCTCTCTTTTCATTTTGGTCAAAACTACCATTAGATTATATGCACAACTTCGTTGTGGTAAACATGCCAGTTAAGAATCGGTTAAAAAAATCATGCTTTTCAGATTGTATGTCTCTTGTCACTTTTACTTTTTAGGGGATTGAGGGAATCTGTAAACAATTTATTTTATGAAGTCTTTGATCTCAATACCTTCACATCTGCATTCATCTTGCAATATTCAGCTGCCAGACAACCGTCTGTAAATAATCAAGTCTGGACAGACAATCCAGTGATTGATATCATGAGCATCGATCTACGCAAATGGGATACAATGACAGCCATGAACCAGTTCAGCAAGCCTGACCACCGAGTCCTTAAGTAGCCTCTTACAACAAGCATGGGTTGCTGACCCTGGCTGGATCTTCACGACATGCTTCACTAAGATCCCTGAAGAGACCCTGCTTAGAAGAGGTCCACAGCAATCCATCTTGTCCAAGGAGGGGACTTGGGTCATTTTGTTTCATTCCATGATGTCTCTGGTGGACATTGCTCATGATATCAATCTCTGGTTTGTTGGGTACAGACTTTATTACTTACTGACTGCCGTGATATGGCTTGAATATTGCCAGGTGTGGCATTAACCCGAAAAAACCCAGCAACTAATGAACTTGCTTTCATTTGATATTTTGTCCAACCTTAAACTGATACTATTGAAATACTGTGCAAAGCAGCATTAAGACAACTCCTTCTTTCTCTCACACTCTGCACCCATTTGTTAAGTTATATGAATACTGTGTTGATATTGTATGCCTTCTTTTTTGCAGCATTTCAAACAGAAGGTAAACTCTACTTGATTTTGGAGTTTCTTCGTGGCGGGGACCTTTTCACACGTCTCTCTAAAGAGGTATGTGGCAAGGCCTTTATCATGAGTACTGTATTAGACGTAATAAGCGCCCATGGTGCTCTCAAAATTTGAAATATCTTATTAGAATATAATTTTGGTGAGAAAAAAAGAAAGAGTTGAAAGATCGTAAATATTGTGGTTTATGCTGACAGCCTGGAATGATACAAAAGAAAAGTCTGTGCGTATTATACACGATGGATATAGTTTTCCAGAATTCAATTGCCCATAATTTAGGGTGCATATAACACATAAATAATAAATAAGTCTTGTGTACATTGATCAATCAGAAGGGGTGCTAATTGGGATTGTTCACTAGCCAATATATTAGCAAATATTGCAGTGGGCTCTTATTAGAGAGGGGCTCTTATTACGTCGAATATGGTACATGAATCAGATGATCATGCACCACCTCTAACAGTGTTGGAAATATAAGGGTCATGTGATTTTCTGCTATCTATTCTACTCAACAATTGATAGGGTACAGGCATTTTGTATCCTGTTTTAAAACTAGTGGACAAAATATTGTTGAATCATGTGTTTTTTGTTTAATTAACTTCATTGAAGCCAAACACGATTCAGTTCTGCTGCAATAGTAGATTCTGTTTGTATGACACTTCCAAATAATCGTTCAGACCCAAACTGGGCACTCAGAATAGCCTTGTCAAGCGCTGATTAGTATATTTTAACCATGGGACCCCATAAATCTTATATTAGGGTGGTAGGCTAGTGGTTAAAGTGTCTGCTCATCACAGGGATTATCCAGATTTGATTCCCAACATGGGTACAGTTGGGAAGTCCTCACTTACTATCAGAGTTAGGACAAGGATGATTGATATTTAATTGGGAAAACTATATTTGATTGTGCTACAATATTTTCAGGTCATGTTTACGGAGGAAGATGTCAAATTCTACCTAGCAGAGCTGGCTCTAGCTCTGGATCACCTCCACGGAGTGGGCATAATATACAGGGACCTCAAGCCAGAAAAGTAAGGGGTTTACCAGTGTGTGACACTAACACAGGTCTGATGGCACCAGTCTGGTAAATGTTCTCAAGGAACGGTACAAGGAATTAGATGGATGTCTGGCAGTATAATGTTATATTTTTAGGGAGTTGTTTTTATGGTGTTTTTCTGATAGTAGAAAATGAAAATCTGCAGAATTAGAATGAAGGGATATGAATTTTCGTTGTTGACATTGTTTGGTCTGACCCTTGAAGATCTGGGTAGAGAATAGGTCTTCAGTAACCCTTGCTTGCCATAACAGGCAACTGTGCTTGCTGTCAGAGGCGACTTTGCGTGCCGTAAGAGGCAACTGATGGGATCGGGTAGTCAGACTTGCTGACTTGGTTGATGCATGTCATCGAGTCCAAATTGCGGAGATTGATGCTCATTAAGTCAGTCGCTTGATTGTCAGGTCCAGACACAGTTATTTACAGAATATGTTTAGAATATATAATATGGCTGGAATATTGCTGAGTGCGGTGTTAAACAACAAACAAACACAAGAGGACAACAGGACCTGTAGATATTTCTTGCTTTTTTAGTTCTTAGGACTACTGAGAATACATATCTTGATAGAAAGGTTGGTACCTGATACTGAATACAACACTCTGAGTATCAATTCTTTCGTGAATCTTGACATCTTGACTACAATGTTCCCTGCAACTTCATACATGGACCCTGTGACTCCAGGTTCCAATGTCGGTTTGTTGTAAGAGGAGACTTAATGGGTCGGTTGGTCAGGTTCAGTGACTTGGTTAAGAGTGAGCCATTCACAAAGTCATGGGACATGGGGATTGTCTTGTCCTGCCTTGATAATATACAGATGTCATTTGGCCTGAATGTTGTTTTTAGTGGCTATTACCAACAAACAAACCACCAAGACATCCCATAGTCTGTTTTCACAATGAAATCTATAGACAAAGAAGACTACTATGACACGAACATGTATGGACCACATCCATATTGCTGACCCGTGAAGATCCGGGGTTGACTAGGTCTTCAGCAACCCATGCATGCCCTAAAAGGCGACTTACATGATTGGGTGGTCAGGCTCACTGACTTGGTTGATGCACATCATCGATCCCAGTTGCGTGGATTAATGCTCATGATGTCAATCACTGGATTATTTAGAGACCGCCATCATATAGCTGAGTGCAGCATTAAACAACAAACAAACAAAATGCTGTCAAAGTGCCACTTTCACATTCTCACAGTATGCTGTTGATAACCATGTTGCTCTATTCTTTCAGCATACTATTGGACAGTGAAGGTCACATAAAGCTAACAGACTTTGGGCTAAGCAAGGAATCAATTTTTGATGAGAAGAAGACCTACTCTTTCTGCGGGACAGTGGAGTACATGGCACCAGAGGTGGTCAACAGGAAGGGCCATGGCACTGCGGCCGACTGGTGGTCGTACGGGGTGCTCATGGTAGGTTAAAAGAGTCCATCTGTCTATCAACCCTTCTCCCTCAGGGATTCTGGCTTTCAGTAGGTTCTCTGCAACCTACGCTAAGGTCCTCTGCAACCTACACTAAGGCCTAGTCCTCTGCAACCTACGCCAAGGCCTAGTCCTCTGCAACCTACGCTGGGGCCTAGTCCTCTGCAACCTAGTCCTCTGCAACCTACACTAAGGTCTAGTAAGGGCAACCTTATAAGGATCAGGTGGTCAGACTCTGTGACTTAGTTGCTAGTGTGTCTTCTTACGCCTATGGCATGAATAATACTCACAGTATCAGTCACTGGATTGTCTGGTCTGAACATGCTGATTTACAGGCTGTACAGGAATATTGCTGAGTGCAAAGTAAATCAACAAACAATATATCACCCTGTCAGTGCCGCTGTGGGGTTACAGTGCGTGTCTGAGGTATAGCAGCTTGTGTTTAGTCACTTATGCAGGTGTGGTTCACTGACATGGGTAGATGGCCCACTACAGGGGTAGTCCTTCAGTCCATTTAGTCCTTATAATGATAACATATAGCAAAACCTTTAAAAATGGCAAATTTCTCCTAGTCCTTATGTTATCTTAACTATTGAGCAGTTTGGCAAGGACTACAGGACTAGTGCCAATTTCTAACGCAGTACTACAGTACCAGTATCTGCTGGCTGTTGGTTCAAGTACCAGATCTGCTTAGATTTCAGTCCTTGGTCTGTCTGCATCCTACACACACTGCGACACAATCGTAACACAAGAGTGGTGATATCTCTTTGGCCTTATCTCACCCTGAGGATGATGGCCGTGATATCCTGGATATACTGTTCAGAGCACTATTTAATCGATATCATTCAGGCTCTCAACCTGAAAGTGGCTTAAAATCATTTTCACTCATTCACAATTACTCTCAAATATCCACATCCATTTTCTGCATGCATTGTATGCTTATTCATTCCAGTTTGAAATGCTGACAGGAGCTTTGCCTTTCCAAGGTGCAAACAGAAAAGAAACTATGACACAAATTCTCAAGTAAGAAACCTTTTCAGGAGATCTCTCTTTCCCCATGAGGATTCCGAACTTGAGTTGGTCCTAAGTAACCTATGTTTTAAATGAGGACTTCACTTGACTGGATCAGGTGGTCAGGCTCGGTGGTCTGGCTGATCGCATGTCATAATGACCTGGTAACATGGATTGTTGCTTTCTGTCACCGATTTCTTTGGTCCAGACTTGATTATTTACAGCTGTGATATGGCTTTTATATTGCTGATCGTGGAGTTAAAAAACTCCACTCACTGGTACAAATGTACCTGAGACAGTCAGGAGTCTTTTGTATTATGTACAGTTGATGTAAGATGTGTGTCAGTATTTAACACTCCACATGTGAGATAACCTTACCTGTTGTTGATTTCAGGGCTAAACTTGGCATGCCACAGTTTCTTAGTCCAGAAGCTCAGAGTTTATTACGGGCATTATTTAAAAGAAATCCTGTCAACAGACTTGGTAAGAACTGCATCACGAAATATTTACTTAATTATAGCTTCTTCAATGTCACTTTTCTGTGAACTTTTCATGGACTTTTCATGGACTTTTCATGGACTTTAATGTCCTTCCCTGAAAAATTGCTGATTTCATCATTAAACAACCTGCACCCTCTGTTAATAGTTGTAATACCCGACAGTCATGGGATTTGCTGCACACAGTTTTATAAATAAGTTCTATTTAATCAGGAATCAGTGAGATATTACTCATAATTCTTAGACGTTCAGTGACATATTAGATACAGTTTAGAAATTTAGCATGTCTGGGTATGTAAACTAGTGGCTATGATAAGTATGATCATGATATGGATGTTTCAATACACTTAAGTAGACAATTAGTAAGCTTCCATCCGTAACAATATTCAGTAGATATGTAAGATTTAATTATTTATTTTTTCAATTCCTCCAAAACAACTACATCATACAACTGAGTCAATTCTAAAACTGCAAATTTATATAAGTATATTCATGATATAAGGTCATGATATAACATCAGTGTACTTTTATTCCATCAAGAGAATGTGCCATGGATGATCATTTGTCTTTGCAGGTTCATTGCCAAATGGCATAGAGGATATCAAGAAACATGCATTTTTCAGCACCATTGACTGGGAGAACCTCTTCAAACGTGCAGTCATGCCGCCATTTAAACCTGCTGTGGTGCAAACTGACGAAGTCTTCTACTTTGACCAAGAATTCACAAACAGAACACCAAAAGGTAGGGTATATTTGTGATATGTATTCTTAATAAACTCCTAAATAGGAAAGAATGAAAGACAAAGAGTGATATTTTTATGTACAAAGAATTGCCAACAGATATATAGTGTTCCAAGTTGCAGTAAACCCATATATCCCTCACCAATTACAAATATTGTCCATTGTTAGTTGCAGCAATTCACTCTCTCCCCTTCCCCTTGCAGGGATGGTGCTGCCTTCAGAGTTAAACACCATTCACTCACTTCATTTCCCCTTGCAGGGAACCCGTGAAAATCCAGGGTAGAATAGGTCTTCAGCAACCCTCGTAAGAGGCGACTAACTTGTCGTAAGAGGTGACTATGCTTGCCGTAAAAGGCGACCATGCTTGTCGTAAGAGGCGTCTAACGGGATCGGGTGGTCAGGCTCGCTGTCTTGGCGGATGCATGTCATCGTATCCCAATTGTGTGGATCGATGCTCATGATGTCAGTCACTGGATTGTTTAGTCCAGACTCGATTATTTACAGACCGCGTGACTTCAGCATTAAACACCATTCACTCACTCACCACCCCTTGTGAGAGATACTGCAACAAATTGTGGTTCTGATTTCCTTAGCAATATTCTTCCCGCTACAAGTATCGATCACAGTCGCAAACTAAGTAAAAAATATCGATTCATACCTTAAATGTTTACTTTAATGGCTGTTACACTGAACTTTAATTAGTAGTGAAAATTAGTATTGAAAAAGTACATATTTTCATCCATTGCGTCATACTTGACACTGCCAACTGTAAAACGTCAGTGGGACAGGTATTGTACAATGATGTGTTCATGGGTATATATGCTGTCTGTTGCAGATTCCCCCGGCATTCCCCCCAGTGCTACTGCTCATGAACTGTTCCGTGGATTTAGTTTTGTAGCCCCTGCTTTACTCGATGAAAACATCAAACCAAACAATCCTCTAGATAATCAGAAAAATTTAGCAAAGGTAGGTGCCTCTTTTGCATTGGCTGGTACCCTTTAGTTTCAGGAATGAAAGCATCGGTGGTCGGCCTAGTGGTTAAAGCATTGGCTCAACGCACAGATACACCATATGGTTAATCTGGTTACAATTGGTCATCAACCCATGCTTGTCATAAAGGTGACTAACAGGATTGGGTGGTCAGGCTCGCTGACTTTGTTGATGCATGTCATCGTATCCCAATTATGTAGATCTTGACCCGTGAAAATCTGGGTTAGAAAAGGTCTCCAGCAACCCTTGCTTGCCGTAAAAGGCGAGTATGCTTGTCATAAGAGGCGACTAATGGGATCGGGTGGTCGGGCTTGCAGATTTGGTATCCCAATTGCGTAGAACGATGCTCATGGTGTTAATCACTGGATTATCTGTTTCAGAGTTGATCATTTACAGACTACCGTCATATAGCTGCAATATTGCTGAATGCTGTGTTAAACAACCAAAAAATAAACAAACAAGCCATGTTTAACATGTTTCAAGTCCATTCTTGGTGTCCCCTGTGATATCCTGAATTAATTCTTTAAAAACCCAACGTTCGAATTAAAACCAGAATGTTGGTATTTTGTGTATATTTAATCATGGAATTATTTACATATGGTATCGCAATGGTTAGCAATAACTTCGCTATATATCAATACTATCACATAGGGAAAAACATATTATTCTGTTAATTTTTGTTTTGAGTAACTGTTTATTACACACATTTGGGTTTCAGTTACCGGGTGTGAAGAGCTGCAAGTTTTCAGATGAATATGAACTGAAAGAAGTAAGTAACAAGGCCTTCAAATGATATTTGAGTGTGAATTAGATGTGAAAAAAACCTTGTGTATACAGGAAACTTGAGTATTTATGATTCGAATGTGATGAAACTTGGAATACATGATCTTGGGTATCTATCTTGTCAGTCTTTTGGTGATCTACTGTAAACTACGGTTAAACGAACTCAAAGCAACCACTATTTTTAGGTCGTTATAGCAGAGGTTCGTTATGAGCGTATATACAGCAAATGAATAGAACCAAAAAAACAGTTAGTTTTATCTGTCAGTTCGTTGTAAGCGTGTTCGTTATAAACATAGTTTACTGTATATACAAATAGGTAACCACAGGTCACGTTACGAAATATGGCTCAAATGGCAGGATATTTAGGATTCATTCATGAAAAATCAAAGCAATTTCCAATCAGTTATAATAGACGTTGAGTATCTCAGTTCCTGTAATGTGTCGGAGCTGTGTCAAATGTCTAGGTCACTTTGATTGTCATTTCATTCAGGAAGTATTGTCAGGATGTATGGAGACTTCATCCTGGTAACACCATGCCTGTTTGCAACCAGTAATGTTCTCGAATGAAATCGGATCTTTTTGAAGATCAAGGTCACTCAGTTCGAAGCTTATGTACTAAGTTGAACTGTACATGATCTCTTGGGTAAACTAGGGTCTCTAGTTGTTTCCAAGTAATAAAGAATTAGGCTATGTTTCCCCCTATCTGGAAATGTTGTCATTAAACTGGGAATTGCTTAAAACCTTGTTAGTGCAGCTATGGGCATGCGTGTTTCTGTTATACATTTGTACTGCATTCACAGTGTGTTTGCAAACAGTGATGTCATTAAACAGGAAGTGCTTATAATTTTATTATTTTGGTAGTTTCAAAGGCAAATGTCTTTTTTTTCATTTTGTACTACATTGGGTATGTGTGTCCCTTATTAAGCCAGAAGTGATGGTAAATTGTTTGGGTAGCTAGGGGCATTAAAAACTTTCACTGCACTGCTTAAGTGATCAAGACTGTAGAAAAATATTGAAGAGGTCAGCTGTTGCCTGTTATTTGATAGTAGTTCAAAAGTATAATTCATTTGTTGAAGTGTATGATAACATTTGTAAATAAGCATAAAAAGTTCATAAAAAGATGATTTGAAGCAAAGCTTACTTGACCAATTTTTATTTGTTTCCAAAGTGGGGTAGATGCAGCCAGGTACGTTCCACTGAGCGACAGTTGGGGCAGTTGGGTAGCCTAATGGATAAATTGTTCGCTCGTCTTGCGGAAGACTCGGGCTTGATTTCCCAACATGGGTACAATGTGTGAGCCCATTTCTGGTGTCCTCTGCCATGATATTGCTGGAATATTGCTAAAAACTGCGTAAGACCATACTCACTCACTGAGCGACAGACTGATTTCATCAGTGAAAACTTTCTATGTGTATCATCAATTTTTCCAATTTGTGTGCTTTTTTCTACTGATTCATATTTCATTCCAGGATATTGGCATAGGCTCCTATTCAGTGTGTAAAAGATGTGTGCATAAGATGACTGGGAACAGCTATGCAGTCAAGGTATGTTTGTTGCAGCTCCTCCTTCTGTTTCCCCTCGATGAGATTCCACAGTACAATGGAACCTTGCAGGCTGTCACTGAAATGGGACCCGTTAAGATCCAGGGTAAAAAAGGTCTTCAGCAACCCATGCTTGCCGTAAAAGGCGACTATGCTTGTCGTAAGAGGCGACTAACAGGATCGGGTGGTCAGGCTCGCTGACTTGGTTGATGCATGTCATCGTATCCCAATTCATTGATGCTCATGATGTCAAACACTATATTGTCTGGTCCAGACTTGATTATTTACAGACCGCCATCATATAGCTGGAATATTGTTGAGTGCGGCACTAAACAACAAACAAACAAACATTGAAATGGAGTAGTTAGTGTCACAGACTAGGCTGATTGCCTTCTATGTTATGGATAGTTGCACATACTTTCAGTCACTGGTTCGACTGGTCCAGACTTGCTTATTTACTGGCTAGTGTTATATAGCTTGAATATAGGGGAAATTACTGATATACAACGTTTACTCACTCACACATTCCTCCTTCATTTGCACCCTGATGCCATGAATGATTGTTCATGCTATCAACCTCTGGTTTGCTGGACCCAAATTGATATTTACAACCTTCAGTGATGGTTGAATAATACTGAGTTTACAGAAAACATACACTTGTTTCTCCTTTTGGATAGGTGGAATTAAATTGTTTTATTAACGCTTAAATCAGATTTGTTCTTTAAAGAGACGTTGTATGACAATTACTAGGGCTGGGATGGGGAACTCATGTCCTTGGGTACCCACAGGACTACACAGACCCAAAGTCAATCATGATATAGATTATATAATGACAAAAACAAGACGCCATGGTTATACTACAAGCTGCGCAATCTCATTAATATCAGATCTTAGTTCTCGCTATCTCTAAACAAAGATCTGAGGACATCCCATTACGGGTCACGTCGGAACGACCTATCATCCAACCAATCAGAGCGCCGCTTACCAGATCATGAAAGTGACGGACGGAATGTGTTTTCTCATCATGCAACCTCGAAAAAATTAAGAGGGTATTCTGAAAGGACAGTTAGATTTTTTTTTATTATGTCCATACAATCTAGGCCATCTATCCATTCCAGAATGTTCTTTTTATCAGTTTTAAATTTTTTAATCGAGAATATGTCAAAATATGTTTCGAAGCGTAGTCGATAGTCTAAAACTTGTCGTAAAGCTTGAGAAAGCTGCTTTCTGATTGGCTAAAGTCGATTGCTTGTCAGTCATTTCATTGGTCGGTCAAAGTTTGTGAAAGGTCGTTTCTGACGTGATGTCCTCAGATCTTTGTTTAGCGGTACTGAAAACTAAGATCTGTTTTAATGAGATTGCAAGTTGGGAATGTTTGCATTTCTTCCTGACTATACACTCATTCCTTCTGACTTTAATATGTTTGAGTAAAGATAAAGCTTCAGTCATCTTCAGTGTATGCATGATCAGATGGTTTTATACGTGTATCTATATAGTTTTTGCTAGGGCTACTGTAAAATGGACTCTTCCCAGCCCTAACAATAGCTGTGAATGCTATGTGTGTTTGTTTCCTGGGTCCCACTGTTCATATACCTGGGCTGCAATTGTCATTGTTGGTGCTGTATTGGCAGATCATGGACAAGGAGAAGAGGGATCCTTCAGAAGAAGTAGAGATTCTCTTGCGGTTTGGACACCATGCCAATATCATTACACTACGAGATGTAAGTATTTGTATTCTACTCTGAAGCAGGGGCGGTGGGGAATCCTTGTGGCTAGGTGTTGGATTGCTACAAGTAGCTAACATTCATGCACTCAGGTACATGCTTGAAAAGGCTTTGAATCAAAGTCTGCTTTGAAAAGGCCTTACAATTTGATATCATGCCTAAAAAGGCCTTAAATTTGTTAACTATTGTAAATAAATCACCATTATCAGGATCATATTTTGCTCTGATAATGTGTCAAGAATAGTCCGTAACTCAATAAGATATTTCAAAACTGGCGTGTGTACTTGGATGTACAAATCGGGGCATTCTGACAAGGAAGTAAAGTTTTCTAATAAATCTTACTTCGATCTTAATCATTGTTAATTTTAGCCTTGAAAGCAGTGTTCCCGCTGGCTTTTGAAACTGCCAGCCCTTATGGACTGGCAACTCTAATAATTACCAGTCCCCCCTCATTTTTGACAGTCCCAACTTTCAACAAATAAAAAAACATATGGAAATTATTTGGTTTTAAATCGTTCAAGTTCATGCTCAGTAATAGATGTCATCTCTGAAGTAACTTAGATCTATACATCATTCACATAAACTTCAGTCACAATTTTCTCTCTCTTTTTTTAATATTTCGAGACGAAGTTGTTACAACTGTATATTTACCCTAGAAATAGACAAGGGTAAAAGCCCTGATGGTAACAGACAAGCCGACTTTGTTCGAAAAATGAATATCACCAATGTTTTGTTCAACAACAAAGATTTATAAGTACTTTATTTGCCGGTCCAAAGGGACTGGCAGTCACATGATATACCGGTCGAAGCGTAATTTTCCCGGTAAAAAACTTGTGATTTCCGGTAAACGGGAACACTGCTTGAAAGGTTTGACCTTTGCCTTGAATTAGTGGCTCAAGCTATGTATGAACCATGTCATTATGCGAAATGGGAAAGTTGCCCTTGTTTCTTATGTTGGCGCCAAAGTTCTTTAAAACTTGACATGTCTGTTTAGGTGTTTGACAATGGCACCAAGGTGTACATGGTGACAGAGCTAATGAGAGGTGGGGAGCTACTTGACAAGATTCTACGACAGAAATTCTTCTCTGAACGCGAAGCCAGTGCTGTGTTACAAATTGTTGCAAAAACAGTGGAATATCTTCACAAGAATGGGGTGAGTCAGAGAGATATCATTTCTTGCATTGCTTTTTATGTATGTCTGGATGTTACGAACAATCATTAGATGGTGAATTAATTCATCTGTGAAATATTCACTTCATGTGTCTGTATTGCAATGCTTGGGACAAATAGTGTTTTGTATTCCATGATGTGTAAAGTGATTTACACATATTGCTGGTCAGACCGGCAGTAGCAGGTTAACAATAATACTGTGGGGGCATGGGTGGCCCAGTTTCTCGGTTTGTCACCATACCCGTGGTCATGAGTGTTACCAAAGTTGTATACCATTAAGCTGACACGCTGTGATACAACTGGAATACTGCTCAATGCGGCCTTAAACCCAACTCTCACTCACACACTCACTCCGTCAAAAGTGTTGAGAGTAAGCTGTTGTACCTTGAATGTCTCTGTAACATGTTGGGTATTTCCTGTTATAGGTTGTCCATCGAGACTTGAAGCCTTCCAACATTTTGTATGCTGATGATACCGGATCCCCAGAAAGCCTGAGGATATGTGACTTCGGCTTTGCTAAACAGTTGCGTGCTGAGAATGGCTTGCTCATGACACCATGCTACACTGCCAACTTTGTGGCACCAGAGGTAACAGTCATGTCTCCATGGAATTATCACTCAGGATGGCCCCTATTGGGCTTCTAGGTCTCTTACTATTTATATGTGAGGAGTGACATGGTTGGAAATGTGCTGGCGTGATTGGTGGGGGGAGAGTATGTATCTTGACCTGCACAGACGCCAATATTTGGCCTCAAGTCTGCAGCAATTATCGGTTTGATGATGATGATGATGATGTTGGAGATATAACGAGTGCTTCCGGTGTTGCCGATTCTGCACTCAGTAAAAAACTCCTGAACTGGAATTTAGTTTGTGTTTTAGAATATAGTTGTAACTAATGTTATAGCTTTTTAGACGAAACTTGTATTTACTGATAACATGACCAATAGGGAGGAAGAGGTTTTTATGCTTATGAATGCAATGTTAAAATACCTCAGAAATTAGAAATTGGTAGGGGGAAAACACCCAGTATTAAACGCAAGTATTTTTTGGCCCAGTTTGCCTGCCCAGAGAGCTAAGTAGATACATCCCGGCATGACTTGGTTTCCTTCCTGCTACCCATGCCATCAGCACTTGTTTGCCTGGTCCGTACCGGATTGTTTATAGCCCACTTTGATATTGATGACATGTGTTTTCTAAGTCAGTCAGTGAATAGAATTGTGAAAATAATAGAGGTTGTGTATGCTGTTTGCCGGGTAGACAGGCATCGCTGACTTGGATGATGTATATCATTGTAAACATGTTGTATCCAAATTGCACAGATTGATGCTCATGAAGTCGATCAGTGGATTTTCTGGTCCAGAATCGATTATTTTTAAGCTGCTGGAATATTTCTGAGTGCGGCGTTAAAAAACAAACAATCAATCTACTTCCTTGCTTGTAATATTATGTGTGTTTAAGATATGTCATGTGTGTCATATGTACCTTGATGGCAAAATGTTACATTATAGTGTTCCTTTGGGGAGTTTTGGTCCTCAGATTTCAGTGCTTGCCACAAAGGCTCACTCAGAAATGGGTGCAGTTACAAGGGTGATTGTGGGTAATCATCCATGCTGATACAACTGCCATATTGCTAACTGCATAAAACCTCAACATAATCAAGTTGCTATGGTGACGATTCGTTGCTGTTTCAGGTTTTGAAGCGACAAGGGTACGATGCTGCGTGTGATATTTGGAGTCTTGGTGTCCTGCTCTACACCATGCTGGCTGGGTGAGTGTAGGTCTTATCATTGGAGAACTGCATGACAGATCCTCAGTAGCTTGACATTTGAGGTGACTTTAATGGGGAAGAATGTCCACAATGGGGGAAGCGTAAGGATTGTATTTGACTGGGCTGGAACTGAGAACCTTAACCCTGACTATGGCTATTGCATCAACAACAAACCAGAGTTGATAATCAAGTTCTGAGCCCCATATAGATCATAAATAAATCATAAATAAATCATAAAAATCATAAAAATCATAAATAAATCATAAAAGTCATAAATAAATCATAAATAAATCACTTTAATGTCCTTAGGTCATGTGAGGCTCAGAAACTTAGCAATCACCCCTAGTAAGGGACCTCACAATATGGCAGTCCTAGCAACATCAGTGATGTTGGATGCATTAACCATGTAACAGGGGATGCAACTCCGCAAGGATGGCAATGCAGATTGGATTAGACAATAGGTTTTCCAGGTAAACATTGTAATTGCTAAGGTCAAACGGTTCACTGCTCCTATTCTTGGGGCATATTTCTGGTAGCAGGCTCTTTTTAGACAAATTGCAAAAAGTTGCACACAGCTTGGGACCACATTTAGGTGATTTTCTGACTTGTGTGATTCCTATGTTTGTTGTATGGGCTTTTTCTGCATCGTTTTCACCAAGATGCTGTTATTGTTCCAAACAAAACGTATCAGGGAAAATTTTAAGACAGTTTTTACAACATGTTTTTTCGTCTTCTCTTCCATTTTGTCTTTTATTGAAATATGCTTTCAATTTTCAGACACACACCTTTTGCCAATGGCCCAAATGACACACCTAATGACATTTTAGCACGGATAGGGGAAGGAAAGTTCACATTATCAGGCGGGAACTGGGACTCCGTGTCGGCACCTGCTAAGGTGAGCTAGACTTATTTTATTTCTTATCATTTGGGTTACTGATCCACCACCATAAATAGCAGGAATGTTGAACAAAATCAATCTCATGAATATCAGACCTTAGTTCTCGCTACCCCTCAACAAAGATCTGAGGGCATGTCATTGTGAGTCACCAGATCGGGAAAGTATAAACATGTAACCTTGAAAAGGTTAACATGGGGTATTCCAACCACAGCTACGGGCTGTACGACTGATTCTGTCAAAATCATCTTCGTCTATCTCTTGCTTCTGTGGTATAACATTTGAATGACTTTGCATAATCCGTGGGAAGTACTGCTATACATACAATCTCGGCCATCTATTGGACATTGCAAGATGTTCTTTTGTTCCATTTTCCATTTTTGAATCAAATTTGTAAAACTATTTTTAGAAGCAAAGTCTTTAATGGAAGTTGCCAGTTACAGCTGGTGCCGTAAAGCTTAAGGAAGCTATTTCTGATTGGCTAATGTTGACTTCTTGTTATTTATTTCATTGGTCGGTCACAGTTCTTCCAAGGCCGTTCTGACATGATCTGTGATGGGAGTTCTCAGATCTTTGTTGAGCAGTCGCAAGAACTAAGATCTAATTTTTATGAGATTGGAAAGAGATCTAATAGTTGGTAAAAATGTTTTCAACTGAGCCTGATAATCATCCTTTATTGTATTGCTCATGCACCTTGATAATGTAGAGCGATAAAGGACATAACGACGGCTAACTGAGCCTGATAATCATCCTTTATTGTATTGCTCATGCAACTTGATAATGTAGAGCGATAAAGGACATAACGACGGCTAACTGAGCCTGATAATCATCCTTTATTGTATTGCTCATGCAACTTGATAATGTAGAGCGATAAAGGACATAACGACGGCTAACTGAGCCTGATAATCATCCTTTATTGTATTGCTCATGCAACTTGATAATGTAGAGCGATAAAGGACATAACGACGGCTAACTGAGCCTGATAATCATCCTTTATTGTATTGCTCATGCAACTTAATGATGTAGAGCGATAAAGGACATAACGATGGCTGAGCCTGATAATCATCCTTTATTGTATTGCTCATGCAACTTAATGATGTAGAGCGATAAAGGACATTACGACGGCTGAGCCTGATAATTGTATTGCTCATGCAACTTGATAATGTAGAGCGATAAAGGACATAACGATGGCTGTAATGACAAAAAATTCAATGTTAAACCTACACACAGAAATCCTGTCAGTGGGTACTGTGTCCATTGAAGTCTTCTGGATTGACAAGTTTGTTGATGACATCACAATAAGCATTCAGAATGCAAGATTTCTCAGGAATGTTTTGGACCAACAAAGTTAAACTGTACTGCAAATTGGCAGCAGACCAACATCATTCTAGGTATGTGGGAGACCTATGATCATAAATTCAAATCCCCGATTTGTCTTGATTATGTTTCTAAGTTTTTCTTGGTCATACCTGTTGGTTGTACCAAAGTGGTAGATGTCTACAACCATCACCACTTCAGTCTTTCCTCTCACATCAGCCCGGGATATAACTTAAATACTGTTCGATTAGTGTTAAATACTCACTCATGCAGTCACTCATCATGTTGCAGGATCTGGTTCAACGCATGCTGCACATCGACCCCCATCGCCGACTCACTGCCACACAGGTGCTTAACAACCCTTGGATAGCACAACGAGATAGCTTACCCAACTTTAGACTCACAATTCAAGATGCACAGTTAAAGGTACTGGAAAGTCTCGGCTTCTTCTGATGGGTTGACCTAGGTGACAGTTGCCTTTGACAGGGGTTAGGCATGGCCACAAGTCTGTTAGTCCGAGACAGGTGAAACTAGGTACAGTCAAGTCTCGTTAATCCAACACTCGTTAATCCGATGAACGGCTTTATCCCACACTAATGATGGGAACCGATTAAATCAGTGCTATTTAGACCCATTAATCCGACAGTCTCGCACTCCGACTCCGACACACCTAATTTGCAACGAATTACCAAAATCACTCATTCATCAGTCTCGTTAATCCGACACACTGATCGGCGTACTTCATGGTCATCTGCCCGCGAGTACACAGCCTGTGTTTTGATGCAAGGCGAGTTGGCTGGTAGCTGCATATTACAAAGCTGCAGAGATAAACTTTGCTTAACAATAAACAATTAATGCTTTAAGTAAAGAAAACAGCATTAACCACATGCTTAGATTACCTCAATTCTTTAAAATCAGATACAAGTTCTTGCTATCGCCGAGGCATCCCATTATAGGTCATGTCAGAAGAACCTTTCGCAAACTATGACCGACGAATGTTGGTGCTACTTAATTTCGTTTATCCGACATACTCGTTAATCCGATATATTCATATGTAACCAGCCATGTCGGAATACAGGACTTGACTGTATCAGTTTTATTCAGAAATCTAGATATTTTGCATAAACCACAAGTCTGAATAGAGCTCTGGACCATTTGCATATGACCAATAGTGTCCACACCTGACAGTCTGTATACAGTTTCATTGTGGCAGGAGAAATGTTTGAAAGACGTTTACAGTTTGCTTGTGATGATAATTATATTTTTGTCAAAGCCACTCTGGTCCCTATGGAGATTCTGGATTGGGATTGGTCCCCAGTTACTTGTTTGTAAGAGGCGACTAGATGGATCAGGTGTCAGGTTCGGTGACTTGATCGATTAGGTTCCATTGTTCATGGATCATTTCTCACAATGTCAGTTATTGGGTTGACATAAAGACCGTCATAAAGCTGGAATGTAACAGTTATGGTTTGCCTTTTCAGGGAGCAGTGGCAGCCACATTCAAAGCATTGAGCAATGCCCCCAAACCTGTGCTAGAACCAGTAGGTGCCTCCCGCTTGGCTCAGCGTAGGGGAAAGAACAAACCCAAGAGTTCAACAGCGGTATAACCTCCATAAACCCTCACCATGGAGCACTTTCATCAGTATAAGTCACTATACAACGTAGTCAGGAGGAGAAGCAGGCAGGCCAGCCAACCAGCTGGAGCAGGCAGTGGGCAGTAGGCATGGAGTTACATTGGTCAAATACAATTGGACAACTACTTGACTTTGGTCATTCGGTTTGAGTTACGCTGGCTGTTGTTTGATATACAGACAAAGCCCTGCCCACTCTGATTGGCTGCCTGAAAAGGTCACAGTTCTCTCCCTTGACAAATTCTTCCATTCAGACTTCTTTACAGAACTAATATATATATGAGTGCTTTGAAGTATTTATTTTCAGATGTTGTTAGATGATGTATTCCTGAGAACTAACTGAATGAAGCCAGTATCTCCATAATGGGAGAAGTATTTTCTCCGATGTGTGCTAATGCCATTTGACCCTATCCATGTTAGATGTGTTCTGAGCTATGTAAGAGTTTTGTGAGTGACAGGAGCAAGTTGACCTGTCATGGCATCAACTGTGACAACCTGAAACTGTGATGAAGAACTCTGCTGACTAGAGTAGAGATTCGTGTCTGAACTGACCAAGTTTGTCATCTCACCAATCATCAGAGGAAGGAGGAAACACCAAAGTTAAAAAAGAATCTACTAATACACACTAAGAAAAGCGTGTGAAACAAGTTAGCGTTCCGTAGAGCTGTGTTCAGAGATGAGCTGCTGGGTAGTCTTGAGAAGGTAGTTGTAACATGGGACCCCTGTGAAACAGGGCTCTGTTCCACAGATGAGCTGGTGGGTAGTCTTGGGTAGGTGTTTGTGACATGGGGCTCTTCCTGTGAGACAGGGCTGGATTCCACAGATGAGCTTGTGAGAAGTCTTGAGAAGGTAGTTGTAACATGGGGCTCCGTGAGACAGGGCTCTGTTCCACAGATGAACTGGTACATGGGGCTCCGTGAGACAGGGCTCGTTCCACAGATGAACTGGTACATGGGGCTCCGTGAGACAGGGCTCTGATGAGCTTGTGAGTAATCTTAAGAAGGTGTTTGTAACATGGGGCTCCTGTGAGACAGGGCTGGATTCCACAGCTGAGCTGGTGGGTAGTCTTGAGAAGGTGGTTGTAACACTGTGCTCCTCCTGTGAGACGGGGCTCTGTACACTGTGGAAGCTATTGATCCCCTAGGACATATGTGTCGGTAAGCAGAGCTCCAGTCTACATGGATAACAGTATGTCAGCTCAACATTAAAATCTTGTGTTTGATGAAAGGTGAAAGAAATGTAGTTAATTTTACATATCAGACTTATCATGATGTTGACAATGTAACCATGGTATACCCATGCTTGTTACATCAGAGGTGTTTTAAGGCTGAAAAAGAAATGTTGGTTCTCAGGCATTCTCCAGTCATGAAAACATTCAAGTATTAGGATTTAGTTCTATTTACTATACCAATACCCAGGGTAACATCCTATCAAACATTGGAATGGACCAATGGCCGTCTCTTATTAGTTCTACTTAACTGAGGTTCCTGGTGGGCAGTGTTCATGGCCGTTCTTCATTGGGCATCACCCACTCCTCTGTAAATATGTTTTCATGTTGCCACTTCACTGATGAAGCCAAAACTTGGTGTACATATTCCATTCAACATCCTGACATTGAATTTTGTTCAAGTGGTTGCAATCCGTTTGCTGCTTTCAAAAACTTTCTGCAACCCCAAGGATGGTAACAATCGATGAAAATAAGAACTATTATCTGTATAATTTTGACGGATAGATACATGTCACAAGACATATTGAGATAAAATATGCTGACAAAAACTATCCCATTTTGTCTTTTTGGGTTGACGTTATAGGCTGTTGATGTGAACATAATAAATCTAACACCAGTGCCCCACTCGTATTTAGACTGACTGCACGAGAACCAATTGTTTTCATTTTCTTAGCCTAATTTGACGTAGAATTGCATGAACCGTAAGACCTCCTAGGAACAGGTTTGTGTCAATATCATCAGCTGCCAAATGGCAGGCATTTTTCTTCAAACTGTGATGAAAATACTAATCAAACTCACAAGCCCACAAATGCATAATCCATTTATATAAACAAGGGCACCAATCAGATGAAGCGTGCACGAAAACATGTTGCTGATAATGAACTTTGTTTTTATTGCATAGACATGACGTGTGTCATTATTACCCTACAATATACCTAGCTTCACATTTCCATGAACTGTATGTCATTATCAGACTTGTACATAGGCTGTACATTCATAAGCATATGTTGTTAACAAAACTATGTAACCATCTGCATATATGAATAAAATCAAATAATTTCTTATCTACCATATACTTCCTATAACTTTATCTTAGATCTGGTCATATGCCTATAGATGCTAGAGCAAGTCGTGGCAGTGTAGATTGTTCATTGGTTGCACACATTGCTGCTTACTGAAAATACCTTCGAGTGTAGTTGGGAGTTGAAGATATGGATTCTGTTAAGAGCTACAGTCATTCCCATAAGACCATTGTTTCATCATTGTCTCCATTTAGCTCTTTTGTCAAACACATTCTCCTCCAGACTAGGAATATTGCCTTGAGACTACATTTGAATGTCTATGATATTAAGTCATGTGCTTGTATGTCTGTGTTCATTGTAATTGTGTTGGACGCTTTACAATTAACGGGGTAATAATAACATGGAAGAGAGTTTTCAATATGTACCTACAAGAATTCTTATACAAAAGAACTAGCTGGATAGAATTATCTTATAGGCTGATTCCAATGGAAGCCACATGGATTCAATTTCCCATCCCTTTACTGTATGTGCTGTTACTGGCAAAGGACAACACAGAAGACATGGTTTGGGGACAATGTGGCCAGATGTAATTGCTGAGACAAATTTCCATTTCTATGATTGCCCTCGTACATCAGACATGGAATGCAGTATAAGAAATGGGCTGTGGGTAGTAGGGCTGGGACGCGTCCAAATTCACTACCCGGGTACCCACCCACCTATTACCCGACCCTAACCGGGTACCCACTGTTAGTCTCAAGATAAAGGTACAAAATGTCCGATTGGTCATAGTTTTACTGTAGCCCTGGACAAATTGTATTTAGATACACGTATTAATCGATCTGCTCATGCGTACACTGACGTTGACTGAAGTTTTATCTTTATTCAGAAAAATGCGAACATGAGTGACTTGTAGTGTAACATATAGCAAGATCATTTTTGTCATTAAACAATATATCACATGACCAACCACGGGTCCGGGTAGTCCTGTGGGTACCCGGGTCCTCAGTACCCATCCGACCCGAGTACCCGAGTTACCCGTCCCAGCCCTAGTGGGTAGCCTTGTGTGTTTGCTTGTCAGACGAATCTTGGGTTTGATTCTCCACATGGGTACAATGTGTAATGCATTTCTGGTATTCCCTGCCACGTTATTGCTGGAATAATGTTTAAAGCTCTGTATGAGAAACATCCACATGCAGCATAGTTAAGACTAAAGTTCGTAAAGGTTAAGAATAGAAGTCATAACCCTAAAATTTAGAAAGTATGTTTCACAGAGCGAATACTGGTGAGTTACTTTAAACTGGTATGGCTGTGTCAGATGTGCACCTTCCTCTTCAGTACCTTGACCAGATCTGTGAAGATTTATCAAGAAAACAGCAGACACATGTTGAGAGATGTGAGACGCCATTTGGTAGTTCTACTCTGGTGCAAATAGTGATGACATACATTTGGGCTGAGACTGCAGCCTTTGTTCTGTGACACCAGCATATATCAGCGACATTCACCCCCATTGAATCAATTCATCTCGGCTTTCAGACTTAAACCAAAATGTGACAATCCTGCAAATTAGACCTTCTGTCATCAATAGTATAAACATGAGAGAAGCAATTGTTTGTACTTTTCAGCCGTTGCTTTTTCTTATTGACAAATGTGTTGCTGTGGCCATCACATGGCCTGTCTGAGGCCACCTGGACCATTCCTCTTCCTGGTGTCCTGTCGACTATTAAAAAGTGAGGAACTCTTTGTTCTTCAGCTCTGTCGTTTTTCATTCAGATTTACTTGTCCAACATTTCCTAGTTCAACATCACTTTCTATGTGTTGGGTGAAAAGCATGGTTCGGAAGAAGTTCCCTATAGTTTGTGACCTGCAAACTATTGTCACCAAGAAAAACCTGAATATATTTGCACAATCCAGACCAACTTTTTTTTATCTGTTGTATGTCTGTCTAGCTATTTTATTGAACATATCTGCAGCTAGCATTGAGCTTTCAAGATTTGATTTTTTTTCCACGTTATGAACACAAGATGAATTTAGAGTAGTTGTCCTTTTCCATGTTTAGATATTACAATTGTAATACAAATACATGGCTTTGCTCAAACAATAATTTTTATTGGCTGAAATATGATGTTGTTACCACTCCCAATGCTGTCTGACGAACGTATTTGCTTGATTGGTTGGGATACACGTAGAATGTTTTTTCTTTGCTATAAAGGCATTTAATTGTAGTTCATGTGAATCAGATTCTTGAGGCACATCCACTGATCATGAGAGATGTTAAAAATGGGGATTTTATGGTCACAATGGTGGCTGGGTGTGATTTGTCTGTAGGACGACCAATTCTGTGTCTGCCTTAGAACCATTACGTCATGGGTTGTTCCACACACGACGGCTAGGTTGTCAGGCGCACACTTTCACACATGCCATCATTAGGACATTGTTTTATTTATTGATCAGATGTTTCTACCAAAGTCAGAAATTGGAGAGAGGAAAAAGCATTTACATATACCTCACCGAAGTACCTCCAATTTTCGAACTCATGTGCATTAAATGTTGGCAATCTCGAAAGGCCAAGGGAGGTAATTTCCACAAAAACCTTTGATCAAAGACAAGGGACAGAACTCCTGATTTATTGTGCACTGCATAAATAATGAATTATCAATTTGGTGAAAAGTGAATGTAAAATTGGGTATTGTAGTATTGATATTGATGATTTTATTAAGCTACTGAGTGACCACAAATGGTTTTCGTGTGTGTCTTGTTGGGGAAAAAACTAAATTTTTGTATTTTTGGTAAATTAGTGGTCCAACAAATAACAAAAATGGCCTTACATAACATTATTATCTCCGACTTGTTACACACCATTCACTCTGCTCTCTTTACCTTTACTTTTTCGGAAGTAAGCGATAAGTGGAATTCATGGCTTCATTGTGAAGTTTAATCTGTTGCTATGACTATAATGACAATTGCTGAATAGTGTGTGAGGCAATGTGATGTAGTCAAATGAGGTTGTCGTTTTGTCTGCGAGAAGGATACGTGAATCGCCTACCATTACAATAGTGCTTTATCTACCCATAATTGTGTTTACCTTATGTATATACATTATTGATAATTACTCAGATTTTTTAAAACAGTTATCAGTGTGATAAGGATTATTGTCTAAGAAGACAAAATTTTATTGTTATCCTGTTTTCTTTGTGTTTTGTGTTAATGTTGTGTTTATTAATGCCCCATTCTGTTACATGTATATTGATGTTTCGTTTTGCCTTGGATTTGCTGTTAGTTTTAGGATGCTGAAACTAATTTGGAGGCAGGTGGGTGATGTGAAGGTTTTGAATAATGATGATGTTGATGAAAACTTAATGCTTCCTTAGTTACACTTAGATGAAAACAAGTTAGGTTTCTGCTAATCAGAAATGGCAACATGCTGGCTTTTACAGTGCTGTGCAGTTTGGTATGTGGTTTTGTTAGTTCTGGTTTTGCCACATGAATGCAAGAGGGTATTTATCCACAACTGGCCTAAATATCTGTCCTCAAACCTTATTAAAAGAGATTGAATCGATGTTGACAGTATTATAAGTATTTGCTTAGCTTTAAGGCTGATGTTTTGTATGAAATGGCTTATACTTTATCATGATTTTCTATTTTCCAAAACAGTAGTTTAATCTGCCCAACTTCGTGTGTGCAATGGTTTGATCTATTTAACATGGAAATGCCTCTTTCCTTTTAAAGCTCTTCCCATGAATGACAAAGTCCATGTTTTTGGTGTGTGTGTATTTGTATGCTGTTACAAATAATGTACAAACTTCTGCCAAATTTCATTCTCCTATTTGGGGGCACGGATGACCCAGTCATCTGAGGTCCTGCAAATTGCTGTGCAGAATAGCATCCCCATCATTGTGGGTTTGAATCCTGGTTCACCCCGATTCTGTTTGTCAGCACCCTGCTCGTGGGTATCACCTAACTGATAAACATGCATGACCTGCATCACATCAGGCTTTCCTCCAATAACAAGCTGACATGACACTGATTCTACCGAAACACTGTTCAAAACAGCGCTAAAAAACAAACTCACTTCTTGTACAATCATGGCAAAAACTTACTATTCATTACCATTGTTACCAATGTTCTGTTTGATCTGAGTGCCCCGTTTAGCTGGCAGGTGTTTAATGGTCGTGTATGTTGTACAGTTCATATTGCATCCACCCACTGATTCAGAGTTTTAATCAGGTGATCTCATTTCTTGTCCGGCTTTATCTTCTCTTGCCATTGTTGGCTGTTCAAGTTTCAGAGGAAGATATTTATCATGATTGTCCTCTTGCAATCAGGTTGATGGTTGGTGGTGGATGTAGGTTGCTGGCCACACAATCACCTCAAGTAATTGAGATATGGAGACATTAAATAAAACAGTATTCACCAAATCTCCATCCAGTTTACTTTAAGAACATTACTGGTGATTTTTATTTGGAAATTACTTTTTTTTAATTATTTAAAAAAAAAAAAAGCCAAATAGAAACACTTCAAACTTTAAAACTATAGGCACCAATTTCTTTATCCACCATTTTTTATTCTGAGGTACTCATAAGATTCTTAACGGTTTCAAACAAGTTTGTTCAGCAATGTAGGTGATGGATATCTCTAGATGCAACCTGGTTTCCATATCATACGACTTCATTTATATTGACAATATCTTGTGTTAAACAATGTTTAAAGTGCGCATTTACTAAAACGTGACAGAGACTTGGTACATCAAGTCTTCCTATTTAATGTAGGTCGGTTCAGTCTTGCTCATAATGGCATGTGCTGAGTGTTGCATAATCCTTTACTGGCCAAAGTAAAACTTGAGCAAGGAGAGTTTGCTTGTTCATCGTTAACCTGTTTTGTACATTTCCAATGAATTTAGGCAGTCCAATGACTATTTGTTAGTATTTATAATAATTGTTTTTCAAGTGTGTATTGTGGTGAGCACAGAAAGTAATAGGGATATCAAGATGTATGGATCAAAGTATTTTACTTGCAACCCATCCTCGATTACCCAGGGCACTCTGTCTCCATTCCATTATGATAAATACCCTGGACTAATTCGCCACCATTTTGCAAGTGATGTCCCCACCCCTATTTCCCCTTTTTCTTAGCACAGAATTTCTCCCGCTTGTGAGAGTAATTTGGTTTGACTGCTATTTTTAACCTTGTGCTATTTAAATCCAACTTGGAACAAGGCATATTAGTAGCATAGCATAGTGATAGCATATGAGTACAGAATATTTATCATGATGGAGATGCAGTTCCCTGGTTAATCAAGGATGTTTGCAGCCCAGCAGTGAGGTAATCTGTGTGTGTGTGGTAGTCATTGTTCTCCAAGAGGATATACTGATTACCAGAAACAATGTTTGATTGTCTTAATGTGTTTAGCCAAATGATTGTCAAGTTGGTACCTGTGGATTGTTATCAGAAGAAACAGGGTTCAATTTATGTTCACCCTTTTTGTTCTACTTTGGACCATCCAGTAACTGTTTTGAAAGTATTGTATTGTGAAAAGGCTGAAAGACATGTCTCTTAATACGTTCTCCTTTTTCTCCTGAAACATTTCACCTACAGTTGTTAGCCCTGACATGTCAGTGCGCTGAGACTTGGTCATGGGTGTTGAAATCCTGTTTTCATGCTCAAAGACATTTGTTGGTTTATGTGAAATTGATTAGATGTGTGTTTGATTTGATCCCAGATTTTGAAAATATTCTTCACACATTTAACAGGAATGAACATGGTGATATGCAGTAGATTGTAGAGATGGACCAAGCACATTATCAAATCTATCTTATAGATGTACATTGATTGGCTTATCATCATTGCTTGAATTTGTTATTGGGATTACAGAACATGTTCAAGATATGTGTTTGCTTGTCTGGACCAGTAAGGTTGACAAAAGTTATAACTCAAACTCCTACCTTCCCAGAATACTGAAGTCCGTGGGAATACCACATATCTGTACAAGGGACACACTTATTGAAGGGCATTCTACTTGGGAATATGATCTTGCTGAAAAGAAATATTGACTGATTTTACCATTGTCAGTCCAACATAATTAAACTGGAAGCTACTACATCACATTTGCTGTTATTCCATTTTGACTCATGATGCAGGGATGTCCGTGTTAGTCAACTGAACATATTCTTGGTTCTCAGGCATTTTTATTTGCATCAGTAAAGAACATTCTACATCAGAGTTCTTGCTGTTTTGGGAGAAAGAAAAAGGTTTTCTGCAGCATACGTTTTTATACAATTAGATAGGCAGCCGTATAGGCTGATAAGCAATTTGTGGCTTTTAAGCTATTAGTATCTTCATATGGCTGGCTCTTGTCTTATTTTCTGTATCAATGTCTTATTTTTTAGGGACCATAACTATTTGGTACAATTATGAAATTATTTAAGTTTACACTTGTTTTATTTGTGTTGAGTTTCTGTTTCCTTGCTTTAGGGTAAAGCAAACAAGTGCCATGGTAATAGCCTAAGCCATGAGTAAAAAGGTCATAGTTGATTGGTCACAAGGACTCGTACATCAATGCTTCTACTGCCCAATTTTCAATATATGTAAGATTTTTACTTGCATTTATTTTGACTGACTGTAGGTCAGCTATGCTGTAGATTATTCTGTCAGTATTGTCCTAGAAGATCGTGCACATTTTGCAAGCGATGTGGCCTTTTTTCAGCTATGTAGCAGTTCTGTGTTGAGTGACCATGTAGTTGTGGATAGCTTCTAAGAATGGTGTACACCAACTGAATATGCAAATCTGTGGCTGGACCACAGGGGAATTTGATGTACTTGTATGGTGTTTGTTGTGACTCTAAGGCTCGTAATATTGGACTTCCTTCTCCATTGTTCAAATTGACTAAGGAATAGTTGTCATGATTATGCAGAATGTTAAATAACTTTACAAATGTGTGGACTTATCATTTATTTTGTTTTGAAACCATCCAAACATCTGTATGCAAATTTCATAAAGTTGACATTTTCAATATTTCTGGAATGTCTGAAGTGTAGTCTACGTTGCACATAAACAAAATGGGGGCAGTCGGGTAGCCTAGTGGTTAAAGCGTTTGCTCGTCACGCCGAAGACCCGGGTTCGATTCCCGACATGGGTACAATGTGTGAAGCCCATTTCTGGTGTCCCCTGCCGTGATATTGCTGGAATATTGCTAAAAGCGGCGTAATACCAAACTCACTCACTCACTCACTCACTCACTCACTCACTCACTCACCATAAACAAAACAAAGTTGTGAACATAAAATAAATGTAGATCAACATGCTCTTGGCCAACTATTAGGAACCAATGTTCAGGCATGTAAGGTCACATTGAATAAGAAAATTAGCATTTCTCTAGGACTTGTTTCAACAACACTTAGTTGATTCTGTGGTTTAATACAAAATATGGCTACTTTAGATACACAATGTGGTTCTCTATACAAAATAGTGGTTCAGTTTCACTACTGGTAGTTGTGTAATAGTTTTATAGAGTATATTCAACCTAGAGATCCAGTTGGAATTTAATTATTGTTACATCTGTAGGTATGATGTATCAGATTGCATCATCTAAATACAGTTATATATATATATAAATTATTTTCTAAGGATAACAGAATATTACCTTTGATAACTGCTCTTACCTCTATATGCAATATGTATTGATTTGTGCCAGATATGTACATACATCTGTTCCTGCATAATCTCTGCTGTGTATTTCCTTCCAGACTTGCACAGAGCCTCTCACTATCTGGGAGATGTTTAAGTTGGTGCTGCTGGAAAAATGGAAATCTTGATGGTTTAGAGTGCTTAACAATACATTTGGATATGCATATGGTGTTTTGCTCAAAGCAAAGATTTGTTGGCCAGATTTTCAGGTACATATATGATGACATTTAATGGGGAAAACCTCTTGCCTAAAAAAAATGAGATTTTCCCACCACAGCAACACAGATAACAGGCATCATCATTTTGAATGAGCAACCTATGCTTGTCGTAAAGTGACAAAATGTATCTCATGGTCAGATTCAGTGACATCGTACACCAACAACATGGTTTGATGTTCATGATATCAATCACTGGATTGTCTGATCCAGACTCGGTTATTTAATGCCACTGTCGTATAGCTGCAATATTGCTGAGTGCGGCATTGAAAACAATAACACATTACTTTTCTTTCGTTCAAGTTGTGTTGATTTGCCAAGACAAAGACTGTGTCAAACTCAAACTCAGATTTCTACTTCATTGAGTTATGAAAGGAACACGAAAGGTCTAAGCCTGTAGCACCAATGTAAACATCACTCAGTGTGTGGTGTGCCTTTTGATCCCACCTTTGGTCGACAATTAGCTTCTCTACATAGTGCTTCAGTCCTAGTGCTCAACAAGTGTAAGCCATGTTTCTTGAAGAATGACTAGATTGGTGCTTCTTCCCTTCTTAGGACTGTATGGTTTCCATTATGAAAAACTGTCTGATACATCTTCATGTATTAAAGACAAGAAATAAATATTCTTGTATATTTAACCTTATGTGTTTGTTATACTTTATTCATGGTTTCATTCATTTTTTGCGCCATGTGGATTCCACAGCAACACACAGATCTGGTGATCAGTCTGTGATTTGGTTGATTGCATGTTTTTATTTGTTGTTTAACGCCGCACTCGGCAATATTCCAGCTAGATGACGTCGGTCTGTAAATAATCGAGTCTGGATCAGACAATCCAGTGATTGACATTGGGATTGATGACATGAGTCAACCAAGTCAGCGAGCCTGACCACCTGATCCCGTTAGTCGCCTCTTACTGATTGCATGTCATGTTGGGATAATTATACCCCCATTTGTGTGCGACCTATAACTTGAAAACTACCTCATGGATTCTTTTTTTGGATTGGGGGTACAGTTTCTATACAAAGAGGAGAGGTACAGTGCAAAATTTGATTTCGATGAGTTCATTTTCAGAGAAATATTACATTTTTCATGTTTTGAACTCATGTTGGGGTGGAAGTCAGGTTATTAGTGAACCCTGCTCACTTTTTGCCTTGTTCATTATGGAAATGGACCTTTGGGGATTGGTTGAATGTCATTGTATCCCAATTGTGTGGATCAGTGCAAATGTTTCAATCACTGAGTTATCTGGTCCTGACTCCATTATCTACATGCTGTTGTCATACGACTGGAATATTGCAGAATTTTACGGTTAAACAACAAATACATCAACGCAGCCAGTTTTGGATTCAGGGTTAGAATAGGTTCCCGCAAACTGCTGGGTGTAAGATGCCAAAATAGATCAGCTGGTCCGGCTTGGTGACTTGGTTAATTGTGTGACAGCGGGGATCGTTGTTCATAATATCGATCACTGGTTTGTCTAGTCCAGACTCGATTATTTACAGGCTGCCGTCATACAGCTGCAATATTTGCTAAACAACAGCTAAAGCTTCAAGTTATTTGTTTGCATGTGTCTGGGTACATTTCCCCACTACTGAGTATGGAAAATAAGATAATGTTTGCTTGACATAAAGCTTTAGATCTATGAAAGGCACATGCCATAAAAGAGAAAATATGCACTGTCCATTCGATTATTTCTTTTCTGGCAAAATAAACCCGACATGACGTTGTTGAACAAAACCTGCGTAACAGGGCAACTTCTACGCACGTACAAATCCTGACACGTGGCCGAGGGGTGAACAGATGTTCAGCAACCCATGCTTGTCGTAAGAGGCGACTAACGGGATCGACTGGTCACGCTCGCTGTCTTGGCGGATGCATGTCATCGTATACCAGTTGTGTACATCGATGCTCATGATGTCAATCAGTGAAATGTAGAGTCCAGACTCCATTTTTTACAGACCGCCGTCATATGGCTGGAATATTGCGGAGTGCGGCTTTAAACAACATACAAACTACAGGCGTAACCAGAGCTAGTCCCATGGTACTGGCGTTAGTGCTAGTCTGGCTTGCAGGCTTCTGGCTGCATTGCTGTCTGTTCGTGTTCGCTGCGCCTGACTGTCTCTCTGGCTTTATGGAGCCCACCTCTATATGGAGCCCACCACTACTAAAAGGGTAGCAGGGCTTTGTTACAACGCTGAGTGTAAAAAGAGAAATCACATTAAAGGTTGCGTATTATACCTTATCCTTAACAATTTCACACAGTGTTGCAAGATAACCCTTTATGTAAAATTGTTTACGTATTTTAAAGGTTGCTGATTACACCTTACTGTAAAAAGTTTTTACAATAAGCGTTGAAGTGAGGATAATATATACACAACAACAAAAGTTCCTGTGACACCAATATTTTAGTGTCTTTTTCAAACAAGTAAAGTTTGGTTTTCAATATTGTAGTACATGAATGGAATCAAGTCACAAAAATGCAACTGCTACAGAAAAGCATGCATTCCATGCAAAAGTTGACTTTTATGCAAGCCCCATGCATTTCACTACCCAAGAATGGGTATAAAAACATGTGCGTTAACGGGATTCCATATGCATTGTTTAGCCTCGTGCTGACAACAACCACTCAGAAAAACAACAAAATTACGCAATTATTCAACATTTCGAAATGCCACGCCTTTCCGAAAATGAGCGTCTGCGAGTCATTGGTATGCTTGAAGCAGAATCGAGTCAACGTGATGTTGCAAGACAATTTGACTTCCACAGAAACACGATTTGGTGCTTATGGCAACGTTGGCAACAGACGAATGCAGTCAGAGACCATCCTCGGAGCGGGCACGAGCACAGCTTCTCCAATCTCTAACACAAAACCAACCTTTACCTGTCGTACCTGTTCCAAAGTGTTCTCTTCCACAAACGTATTAAACAAACACGTAAAAACTCATTTCAAACGCTCCAGAGCATCGGAACAGAGTGATGGAGCCTCAACATCTAAACGTAGAAGAAAAGTGAATGAGACTCCACCACAGGGGTGCGTGCGACAGGCTATTAATGGGCTGGTACGAGAATAAAATTTCATCCCTGAGGGTCTTGACGGCCACCATCCAATGTACTATTTGGCAAAAATTCAAATTGAGGCAATTGAGCATTTAACAACGTAGATAGATTCAAAGCGCTCCATCAAATGGCGGCTTTGTACTCAGTTTAAATTTAGTAAAACTGATGGTCAAACTTCTAATGTCAAGTCCTTTTTTAAAACTAAGATGACACCGGCTACTGCAGCCGACGATTTAGACATGATGTATACGGAAGCTATACATAAAATTATGAAAGATATGGATAATTACGAAGGTGAGTCAAGCAACCTCAATTTCGAAAAAGCTCTCCATAAAATTATCTGTAGTCAAATTTCAACCTTTTCGTGGAAGTTCCTATCTTCCTCTTCCTCCAGCGTTGGAAAAAAAGTTTGTTAAATATTCAAAACATAGAAGACGACATGTGCCTCATGTGATGCGTATTAGCACACCTCTATCCAATAGGATCAGATCAGGTCAGGGAGCAAGTCGGTCACTACGTAGACCACATGGATCGGTAAGATTTGAAGAAATGTCACTTCCCTATGTTCTTAAAAGACATTTCTAAATTTGAAAAAGCAAATAATCTTAGAATTAATGTCTATGAGTTCAATGAGGTAACGGAAGACAAAGATGAAGGCGAACAAAATAATGTGTTTCCTTTGAGAATCAGTGAAACAACAGCTGAAGTTCCCAAAGAACGTCATATAGATCTGTTGTTGTTAATGTCAGAAGTGGAAGAAGAAGAAGCAAATGTTCCACCACTGTCTCATCACGTTCTCATCACCAATCTAGTTGGTTTGATCAGGAGACCCGGTGATTGTAATTCCAAATATATTTGTAGAAAATGTTTGTGGACTTTCAGCTGTAGCTTCTTTCCGTTTTCTAGTGTTGAAATCCATATAGTGTTTCATCCATCGAGATAGAGAAAATTTCAAGACTTTGTGAATATTGCCAAGTTTCTGACCTAAATGTAAATAGAGCTGCAGAGTGCCAAAGTGAATAACATAGTGCGTCTTGTCGTTTAAGGTAGAAAACAGTTTGTAGGTTTGTCTCCTTTGATCCCAAACTCTTCTAGTTGATGTTAATGATAAGGAGAGAGAAATCCAAAAAGGGGATGCTTTCTTTCCTTGGTGCTAAGGGCAAAGACTGATGTGCAAAGTGTAGATCACACAGGTATTTTAGATCACACTCTAACATATAGCCCATGTCTCCCTCAGGATCAAGATTGAGCCAGTCGATCTGTTCTAATTCTTCATTACCCTCCACCCACTCAAAGTTCCCTTGTGGTAAAGGCATAGACATAGCTGCCCCATACAAATTGTTGCCATCGAAATACATGAGATAAGATTCTGGTTTTGAAGAATCAAAATCGTGCAAAATCTTAAAAACGAATCCAGAACTATTTGACATGTCCAACTATGCTCGAAACCATCCAGTGGATTCCATGGACAGGCACAAAGCCATCGGTGTGATGAAAAATGAAGTAGGCGGTAAAATCGTTAGAGAGTTTGTAGGGCTTTGCACAAAAAATTATATACACATGCACAAAAGTTAAGCGCCACCCACCATATATGTGAGCTGTTACTTTTGGCACTTAATGATGACTATTATAACGAGATGTACGATTGTTATAAGCCGTATATGTAAACCTCATGTGATGCAAAAGTTGTCCCAAAGCAAGTTTATCTTGTGTTCCAAAAGAATATGAGCAGAAAGGAATTTTACCAAAGACCAGAAATTGAAGGATTAGAAAACATTGAAAAACTGTTTTTGTCATGTAACTGTCATGATATCAGCAGACCATATCAGGTGTCACATAGACACCCTAGGGAGTGCAGAGTCTATTGCAAGCCAGAAACGTCAGTAACGTGTGTATAATCCACGGACATTGACCACAGCTTCAACCCTACACCTCATACTCATTACAAGTCGTTGAATGCTTCTCTGAGGCAAACGGATCCATTCTTCATGAAGTGCGGCTTCAAGTCCAGCAGGATTTTGAACTGGGGGATCATCTCTGTCCCAGAGATGCTCAATTGGATTAAGATTTGGACTACAGGCGGCCAAGGAAGTGTGTCAATAGCTTCTTGACGCAAATAAGCCAAAACTGCCCGAGATCTGTGTGGTCTAGCATTGTCGTCCATGTAAACAGGTCTTGTCTGAAGAGGATGGTTGTCAAAATGAGGGACTACCACTGGACGAAGAATGGCATCTTGGTTTTGTTGCCAATTCAGGTTTCCACGAACTGTCACCAGCGGAAGTTTTCAGTCGAAGGAAACACAACCCCATATCATGACAGACCCCCGGCCACATGCTAAGGTCTTCTGGATGTTCCTTGGTGCAAAACGAGTGTTACGTTGCCTCCAAACACGTATTCGACCATCAACCATTCGTAGCAGCATTCGACACTCGTCTGACCAATGGATCCTTCTCCAGTTGGCCAAGTTCCATCGACTACGGGCACGACACCATATCAGACGACCCCGCATGTGCCTCTCAGTCAGTTGAGGACGTTTTACTGGTCTTCTGGCGTTATAACCAGCCGCTCTGAGGTGACG